AAGCAGAAGCCTGAAGGTTTTGTGCCAATATTGACTGGTATTTGGAACTGTTCATAATTCCCTCTACCTTGACTAAGGCCCCAGTTAGAGTTGAAGAAAAACATCCCCAAACATGATGCTGCCACCACCATGCTTCACTGTGGGCATGGTGTTCTTTTGGTGATGTGTAGTATTTTGGACCCAAATATATCTTTTGAAATGACTAAAAAGTTCAACCTTGGTTTCATCAGACCCTAAAAAATTTTCCCACATGCTTTTGGGAGACTTCAGATGTGTTTTTGCAAAATTTACCAGGGGTTGGATGTTTTTCTTTGTAAAAAATTGGATTATGGGGTAGAGTGGCAAGACAAAAGCAGATATATGAAAAGTACGGGAAATTGTTATCACATGTACCACACAGCCATTACTTGCCAGATATTCCTTCAGCTCCTTTAATGTTGCTGTAGGCCTCTTGGCAGCCTCCCAGATGAGTTTTCTTCTTGTCTTTTCACCAATTTTGGAGGGACGTCCAGTTCTTGGTAATGCCACTGTTGCACTCTATTTTCTCCTCTTGATGATGACTGTCTTCACTGTGTTCCATGGTATATCTAATGCTTTGGAAATTCTTTTGTACCCTTCTCCTGACTGATAGATTTTAACAATGTGTTTTTGCAAAATTTACCAGGGGTTGGATGTTTTTCTTTGTAAAAAATTGGATTATGGGGTAGAGTGGCAAGACAAAAGCAGATATATGAAGAGTATGGGAAATTGTTGTCACATATACCACACAGCCATTACTTGCCAGATATTCCTTCAGCTCCTTTAATGTTGCTGTAGGCCTCTTGGCAGCCTCCCAGATGAGTTTTCTTCTTGTCTTTTCACCAATTTTGGAGGGATGTCCAGTTCTTGGTAATGCCACTGTTGCACTCTATTTTCTCCTCTTGATGATGACTGTCTTCACTGTGTTCCATGGTATATCTAATGCTTTGGAAATTCTTTTGTACCCTTCTCCTGACTGATAGATTTTAACAATGAGATCCCTCTGATGCTTTGGAAGCTCTCTGCGGACCATGGCTTTTGCTGTAGGATGCGACTAAGAAAATGTCGGGAAAGACCTACAGCTGAACGTCATTTGGGGTAAATCAGAGGCACTTTAAATGATGGCAGGTGTGTACTGGTTCCTTTTAACATGATTTTGAATGTGATTGCTTAATTCTGTACACAGATACATCCCACATGCTTAATTCTGTACACAGATACATCCCACATCCCGTTACAAGAGGGGGTGCACACTTATGCAACCACATTATTTTAGTTTTTTATGTTTACTTCCCCCCCCACCGCCCCTAAAAGATTGCAGTTTGTTTTTCAATTGAGTTGTACAATTTATAGGTCACATAAAAAGTGGAAAAGGTTCTGAAATGATTTATCTTTGTCCAATTTTTTACATCACAGAAACCTGACATTTTAACAGGGGGGTGTGTAGACTTTTTATATCCACTGTATGGAGGAGAATGTCCTTTTTTGCTAGTGTCTATTCCCTGGAAGGCAGCTGCATTAAACCCAGTCTTAATGATTTAGAAAACACCGGTGTCCTGAACTGTACAATCTGGAAAATATGCCACGTAAAGCTAGTCATCAGAAAAATGCCAAATGTAAATGTCCATATCTTAGTCGCATACATCTAGCATGCACATTTTTGTATAATCATAAAACACAAAGACATGTAGATGCAATAATGCAATGGTTCTATGGCTCTTGGCCATGTACCTGGTGCACATGCATGACCATCGTTGAGATGGCTTAAAAATGGGAAAGTTGTGGAAGTGCATAGAAGATTCAAGAAAAGGATCCACTAGCAAGTGCAAGAGGCTGGTACTGTCTCTGGGAGGTAGTGCACGGTGGGGCTTCTGTAGAAAGCAACAGTGAGACTAGAGTGTGGGTATGCAATGCTAAGAGGTGGGTTAGGGAGTTTTACATGAGCACTATGGGGGTTATTTACTAAAACTGGAGAGTTCAAAATCTGGTGCAGCTCTTTAGAGAAACCAATCAGCTTCCAGGTTTTGTTGTCAAGTCTTAATTGAACAAGCTGAAGTTATAAGCTGATTGGCTACCATGCACAGCTGCACCAGATTCTGAATGCACCAGTTTTAGTAAATCTCCCCCTATATGTTCAACCTGTGTGTGGTTGTAAGGAGTTGGTGAGGAACAGGTGCACTTTAAGAGGAAACGCAAATGTTCCAATTCTTAACATGTATATATTTAACCCAATCCAGGTAGCAGAGGAAGATCAAACTTTATTGAAACTGCTTGCATACAAAAATATATTGCACTATAACCAAACAAATGTCAACATAAAAGTCCAATCTGTTTTAGCTAGTATGTACAGAAGATAATGCCCTCATGGGCACAACAATGTTAGTTTACCTTTTGTTTAGTATCTACAGTATTTTGAACCAAACAGCATACAGATGATGTGTGCAAGGTACCAATTCATTTATTTTTGCTCCCCCCCCCCAAATACTATACATTCCCAAAATAAATAACTAGAAACCAACATTAGTGTTTGGCAATACTTTTAAGACATTTTATATATGTTATACTGTGTGCAGCATGTTGTCATTTAATATATTCACTTGTATGCACTGGAAATTCAAGAGCAATAGGTAAAAAATGATAACTGGTCAATGGACAATACTAGAGGTGGGGCCCTCTAGTATTCGCCATAAACTTTTCTGTAGATCTGTTATGTCTCCATAGAGATAGGACATCCCTTTTTATAGAAGTGGTAGCAGAGATAAGATTCAGGAGCTGTATCACCATTCTAGGCTGGAGGTTTATTTCATATAGAACAGGAAAACCAAAGAATCACATGACTTTCCTTAAAGTACCATGTTAAAGTAAAGTAATCATACAAATGATATAGTATATGAGGGTTTTGGAATTTGATCTGGACCCTGAAATTAATATAATCTTTCCATGCTAGCAGCAGTTCTTCCTTTCACTACTGCCATGGACTGTTCTTAGTCTGCCCAGCCCCTTCCTAGCAGGTACCTTAATGGGGAAGGAACAGGAAAAAGCCAGGAATTTGATGGGGTAGAGAAGCCTCTTTCTCTAACCCTTAATATTGCCAAGAAAAAAGTCTTTAACACAACATATGGGGGGGTGGGGGGACTCTGTGTGCTTTTTTGAACAATGTTTCCAGATCGGTTATAAATCTCCCATGAATTTTCTGCACTCCTCCCTGCACCTTGCAGTGGTCTGGTTTTACTGGCACAGAATTACAGATTTGGTATCAAATTTCCATCAATCCAATATAATATTGTTCTTTAAATTAATTACAGATGGGAATAGGCTTTAAGATAAATAGCCACACTGCATTTGTAATAATAGGAATATCCACTTCTACACTGTTAATGAAGTGCAGCCTTACCTCTCAAGGATCCCCATGCATTTTATTAATTTATACTCTCTGTAATCCCTGACAGATAAGACTGCACAATTATAACAACTCAAAACTTGCATTTAGAATGATCACAAATTCCCTCTGTTGACTAGTTTTCCTCGGGCCTTTCAACAATGCAAACACCACCAGGGACATATTTTCAAAGCAGTGAATGGGACCTTTACCAAACATTCACTGGTGAATTACTGTCATTAAAAACACGAGTACTACATATATTCATTGGCAGTGAATGTTTGGTAAATGTCATACTGACTACTTTCTAAAAGTCTGTCCAGGGAGCATTAACTAAAGATGCAGATCTGCATTTTAAATTAAAATCCCTGTTAACGAGAGGACACCTGAACAAAAAAAATGACGCACATTCAACTAAACTGACTAGTTTAAGTACTCATCCAGCTCTCATATTAAAAAGATTCCCAACAGATGATTGTAAATCTCTCACAACATGATAATTAAGAAAACAATACCCAGTATTTCTACAAAGACATTGTGTCCCTGGTATGACTATTAATTGCTAACTCGGTGCAAAACCAAATATTTCTACTTTTCCATTTCTGTCGCCAAGGCTTATGTATACATATAACTGATAAAATATTATGGAAAGCATGCACTCTTCTATAATGCTCTACTGATTCTTAAGGATTGCTACATATATTTTACAGCTAATACGTTCGATTCCCCTGATTCATCCACACAATAGTCATACCTGCCAAGTTAGAAAAAAGGCACAGATCATACAATTTTTTCTTTTTTTTGCTAAGTGAAAAATTACATTATGCTGCACATTTATTAGGTCCCACTAAGATACTGCTGAAAGAGTTAGAAAAGATGGAATGACTTAAAGAAAACCTTTCCAGAGAGATCCATGGAAGTTGCCTTTGGAGGCCTAATTTTGAAAATGTTAGTTTCCCGGCTGTCACGCTTACCCTCTTTGCTTCAATCGTTTCAGTCATTAACACAGAACAGGGTCAGACAGCTTTCCTCTGACTTTGCTGATCTGCATACTTGTCTGGGATTTATAAGCCAGGGCTTTCTGACTCAGCCAGCCAACTAGAATTTTCAGCTCAGCAACAGCCCATACAGATTTCTCTTAAGAAAGCCTTACTTTTAGGCATACTGCATAATTGGAAAAACAAGCCCAGCTTATGAACTGTCTACTTACACTGAAATTTGAATTATAGCTGTCATTTTTTTTTTTGTTTCTTTCTTACTAATCAGCTGCCTGAAAAATAGTGCAACTGAACACAATTATACCAACACACAGTTTAGTATTTTTTCATTTATTTTCTCTTTTAAACAAAAAATATTTTTTTCTTAAAGTCAAGTGCAATATGTATTTGAAAGCCTCGGAGGTTTTGATAATTAATGCAAATACGTTTCCAATGCCTGACTTTGCCAATACTAACAAAATAAGGCTAACAGGAACGCTTGTGTCATGCTCCGTGTCTTCTCGCCTATTTGTCTTTGGCCTACCAGGCTTCTAGAATGTGAAATATGATGTATCTTTTTTAGACTTTGTTTAGACTGTATAGGGTTGACTGTAGACATGTAAAAGTTATGGTACACCATTGACCATCAGTTGCTGGCCATCCACAGCCTCAGGCTTCTCTTTCTTTTGAATGCGGTCTTTGCCAGTGCGAAGTCGGGTGCCCTCAACAGTCGTGTTCTGCAAGCTTTTAGTGTGTACACTTCTTTCGTTATTGCAGTCGATTCGGATCTGAAAATGCAAACAGAAATAAAAGGAACTTTGAAATAGTCCTTCCTGTGATTTCAGTATTGACAAATTCGAATTGTCTGTGCATCTATCTGCTGCCTTCTTTTATTTCTATGGCATTCATGTGATAGATGTTTCCTGCTGAAATTCTTAATTCTATCACACCAGGAAGGTAGAGTACAAAGTTGCAGAGGTGTACATCATGGACTATATTACGCAAAAGTATTTATTGTTTATTGCATTTGCTAAAGGATAAGTTAACCTTTGTAAAAAAAAATAAATAAATAATAATAATACACGTACATCTTTTTTGCAGGTAAAAAATGTGCATTTATTTATTCTTACTAGGAGCCTAGAAATATTGCACTCGTGATCAGCAGATATACACAGACAGGAAGACAGAATGAACTACTACAGCGCTTAAGAGAGCCATGGTAGTTTGTTGAGAACTACGTGTAGATTTCTGTGAATGAATAATGCGGCCGGGTGGGCAGAGCTTCGCTCGGCCATGTCTTTTTTTTAAATTGTGACAGCAGTCACGGGGAAAAGATCTCCAGTCTGCTGTCACAGCGGGCACTCTGGGGAAGGGCAGCTGCAGCACTAACATGTTACATCCTGAATGCGGTAAACATGTAACATGTTAGAAAAGGTGAATTTACCCTTTAACATTCAATCTGACTTTGGAAAAGTAATGGCACCGAAATTCAGTCCTTTCAAAATTCATGGATTGCGAGCTCTGGGCTTCAGCAAAATGGCATCCTCCAGCAAGAAGAAACAGAAGCAATGCTGGAGGCAATTTACAGCACACACTAATTTTGGTGGCATAATTAATAATGTGGACTGTATTTTTTGTGCTAAAGAACATTATTTCTTATCAAGTTGTTATGGGTAAAGTTCTGTTTTAAGCACTTGTGCACACAGAGCTTAAAAATGCAGCTTTTACAGACACTGAATGTTTCTTTTTTCAGTTTGTAAAAGGACTTCTATGTAATCTTATGTGTCCATGCACAAAGGCATTTTAGAAGAGGTTTTTAACCTCCCTGGCGGTATTCCCGAGTGTAGCTCGGGGTAAAATGTCAGTGCCAAAAGCGGTAACCCCGAGCTACACTCGGGCTTACCATGCGGCGCTGCATAGGTAGTCCCTGCAGAGCTTACCTTGTCCTTCGCTCCCGCGATGTGTCCCCTGCAGCGTCCCCGGCCATCTCCTCCGAACGATGCTGGCATCCGGCTTCTGTGTTCTGGTCCCTGTGACGTCAGGACGTACGGGCGCGGCAGGAAATTTGAAAATTTTAAAAAATGTCATTTTTTTCCAAACAAATTTTACATAGCAAAACATTGCTGTTTCAACCCATTTCACATACATTTTGTCCCGAGTGCTTTGTCCTGTGCCCTGCCTGCATTTTGTCTGTTCTTTCTGCCTGGAAACTGAGAAAAGTCCATGGCGTCCAAAAAGTTTCCCTTTAGGTCAAAAGCGGGTTTAGATCAGCTAGAGAACAGTGATATTAAATTAGAACTACTTGCAGAATTGAGTGATGATTCGTGGGGAAATTCGTCATCAGACACTGAAAACGATTTTGCGACTTGGCGCTATATTTCAAATTTCAGTGTTTTTGGTTTGATTATATTATTGAATTAAATGTATTATTATTATTATATTATTATTTTTATGATTATTTATTAAATTATAATTTATGATTTCCTGTTTCAAATTTTATCATACCCGGGATGTTTAATAGACTCTTGTTCGGACAGATTTCAGTGAGTTATTCCTAAAAATGACAGCCTACAATAAAAAAACTACATATTTCCATGCAAAATAATGGTACTGCTTTCAGCACCAAAAATCTGAAATAATCAGACCGCCGAGGAGGTTAATAAGCTGAAAAAAAAACAACACCACCAAAAGGCATGTTCATGAGATGAGAGCAGAAAAATGAGGAAAGTGTCTTCTAAATGCACTTAAATGCTAGATGTGCCTAGCGTTTGACCGTTAATGCATTCCAATGACCAGAATAAATGAATATTCTGGCCAATAAAATACATTAAAGCTCAAATGCTAGATGTGCCTAATTGTGTGTGCAATACGCAGTTTTTACCACACTTTTTAAAAGCAGCATTTTCCTACCAGGAGTTCTGGCATTCAGAGGGCTTTTACAGACGCCCATGTGTACGAAGCCTATGGCCGTAGGAGAAATGTAGAATACACGGTTACTTTACTGCAACTTATGCTTTAACTCCTTTATGGACCCTGCAAGGTCAAAACAAACCTTAACGTCCAAACCCAATTTTGCAGCTCTAACATAGGTTAAAAAAAAAAATTGTACATATTGCGACCACTTAGTGTATCCAGGTGCATTTAGTTTGAAGGGACTGGGCTTTCATTTGGTGGTAAATGTTAATGGATATCTCCTTATTTTGTTTTATTATCTAAGGAAAACAGGACCAAAAGAGCAAAAAAAAAAACATTAGCCGTATATTTTATGCCATTACCATGCCCCACCATCAAAAAATATGCAAAATAAATTCTCCTACTTCTGAGGATCGCAGCGACACCACATGATTGCGTTATTTTTTCTTTGTCCCTGCAGCAGGGCCATGAAACACTATGCATTTTGTTTTTTTTTTCCTACCTAAACACACTGCCACTAACACGGACTAAAACTAAATATAAAACCTTTTTTCTTACCAAAGCACACCAACTCTTATAATGCCACCAACACTGACACAGCCACCAACACTTAATAAACTAAATCAAGGCCTGAACTAGTTCATCTTTATTAATTTTTTTTCCCTCAACAGACTTCCTGTACAGGGTTTTACCTCTAGCAGGTGGAAAAGATACACTGTATCTTTTCCTCTAGAGAATTCTATTTCTCCTCTTCACAGAGGAGAAACAACATAGGGAGGAGATATAAAGTGAATGATCACTGTGATAACCAATCACAGGCTATTACATTGATCATGTGATTGAGAACCAGTTCTTCTGGTTCCTGATTGTTAGTAGAGATCTGGAGCTTTCAATGACAGCTTAGTCTCAGTCCTGGGAGTGCGTGACCGAGCATGCTTTCAGCACAAACACAGGAATACATATATGCAGCTTACATGATTAAAGCTCACTTCCTGGACACCACATATGTGTCACATGGTAATAAAGGGGTTAAGGTACATTTGCTCATCAAATATGAAATAGCTTACATTTAGGAATGACTAATCAGCAACTGATTGGTTGCTGTCTTTTAAGTTCAGTGAGGCTCTATTATTAAAACACTCATATCTTTAGCATAGTAGACCTTCACATGCACCACTGACAAGAAAACCAGGAGGGTAGCAGTGGCTACACCATGGTCCAGTACCACCCAGTGGCTACACCATGAATTCCATGACGTACCACCCAGCCGTATGCACAGTGCTATACCATTCATAGGAGAACAAAGTACTAATTAACAAGCAATATTTAAAGTAACAAAAGAACACAACAGTGACCAACCTGCAGAGAGCCATCTGCTGTCCGTGCTTTAGGCTCTCTTGAAGTGCGCTGCCTGTTGTCTGTCCGAGATTGGTCATCATTTGCTAAAATAAACACAAAGTAACACTATAACGAATAAATGTAAATCACTAATTCTCCCCAACTCTTTGTAAGCACACTTCACCTCTACCCTTAGAGGTGTGCAAATATAAATATAAATATGCTCAGTGACAATTAATAAAAGGAACCTTTCATTATATAATAATTTCAAAAATCCAAAATCTATAATTTTTCAAATTAAAGTCCAATTTCAAATTAAAGTCCAATATCACAATAAAATAAATAAATAAATAAATACGTGTAGTCCAAAAAATTGATTCAAGTGTAAAAAACTCTCCGCTGCTTGCAAAACCTTGATTACCTCAAAAAAAAAAAAAACAAAATATACATAGTGCATTATCCTTTATAAATAAAAATTTACATGTGAGATCAATCCGATAATATTCACCCAAGTGAAAACACGTGTACAGTGGGGATCGAAAGTTTGGGCACCCCAGCTAAAAATTAGTATTAATATGCATAAAGAAGCCAAGGAAAGATAGAAAAATCTCCAAAAGGCATCAAATTACAGATTAGACATTCTTATAATATGTCAACAAAAGTTAGATTTTATTTCCATCATTGTACACTTTCAAAATAACAGAAAACAAAAAAAATGGCGTCTGCAAAAGTTTGGGCACCCTGCAGAGTTAATATCTTGTACTGCCCCCTTTGCCAAGTATCACAGCTTGTAAACGCTTTTTGTAGCCAGCCAAGAGTCTTTCAATTCTTGTTTGAGGTATCTTTGCCCATTATTCCTTACAAAAGTCTTCCAGTTCTTGGAGATTTCTGGGCTGTCTGTCACGCACTGCTCTTTTAAGGTCTATCCATAGATTTTCAATTATGTTGAGGTCAGGAGATTGTGAAGGCCATGGCAAAACCTTCAGTTTACGCCTCTTGATGTAATCCCCCGTGGATTTTGAGGTGTGTTTAGGATCATTATCCATTTGTAGAAGCCATCTTCTCTTTAACTTCAGCTTTTTCACAGATGGCATCAAGTTACCATCCAAAATTTGCGGAAATTTTATTGAATCCATTTTTCCTTCTACTCGTGAGATGTTCCCTGTGCCACTGGCTGCAACACAACCCCAAAGCATGATTGATCCAACCCCATGCTTAACAGTTGGACAGAGGTTCTTTTCATTAAATTCTGTGCCCCTTCTTCTCCAAACGTACCTTTGCTCATTCCGGCCAAAAAGTTCAATTTTAACCTCATCGGTCCACAGAACTTGTTTCCAAAATGCATCAGGCTTGTCTATATGTTAATTTGCAAAGTTCAAACAATGATTTTTGTGGTGAGGACGTAGAAGAGGTTTTCTTCTGATGACCCTTCCATGAAGACCATATTTGTACAAGTATCTCTTTATAGTGGAATAGTGTACCACAACTCCAGTGTCTGCCAGATCTTTCTGGAGGGATCGTGCAGTCAAACGTGGGTTTTGAATTGTTTTTCTCACAATCCTGGGAGCTGTTCTGTCTGATATTTTTCTTGCTCTTCCAGATCTTGCTTTAACTTCCACTGTTCCTGATGACTGCCATTTCTTAATTACATTCCGAACAGAGGATATTGACATCTGAAAACGCTTTGCTATCTTCTTATAGCCTTCTCCAGCTTTGTGAGCGTCAACTATTTTCAGTTTCAGTTTTCTAGACAACTGCTTAGAAGAACCCATGGTGCTGATTGTTAGGGCAAGGTCAGATGAGTCTGGGCATTTAAAACCTTTGAGCTTGACATCACCTGGTCTTCCCAGACGATGATTGAGAACAATCCATGACACTGGCAGGTCTCAGCTTGGCAAAGGGGGCAGTGCATGCTATAAATTCTGCAGGGTTCCCAAACTTTTGCAGACGCCATTTTTTTGTTTTCTGTTGTTTTGAAAGTGTAAACGATGGAAATAAAATCTAACTTTTGTTGACATATTATAAGAATGTCTAATCTGTAATTTGAGGCCTTTTGGAGATTTTTCCATCTTTCCTTGGCTTCTTTATGCACATTAATACAAATTTATAGCTGGGGTGCCCAAACTTTCGATCCCCACTGTATATATCAAACCACATACACATGCGATATACTGTGCAAAACCATGCATGTGAAATACTCTACTGTGCTAAAAACTCATGACACAGTGCACACTTCTATCAGGGTAAGGAGTGAATACTCTTACCAATATAGAAAACAATTTATGTTTTTGATCTCAATCCACAGAAATTGCCTGGTGATATAAATCCTTTTGAAGATGTCCTCAGGGTTTGCTTTGATCCTATGATACTGTATGGATCCTTCCACCCTAGCAACTCAGATATCTTTCCACCATATACGCCAGTCAGATACCCATAGATAAGGAACAAATCATAGCGTGATACTGCCACATACTAAGATCCAAAACTTTTAATTATCCTGCTTACATTAAAAACATCTTTCCATCACACATAGCATATAAAGACCTGTCTGCCATCCGGAATCCAGGAGAGTCCTAATCGCAAGTCACAGCCGATTTTTTGCCCTCTCCAAGATGGCCGCCACTCCACTTCCGGTATTCTCGTATGCGTCTGACGTCACCTCCCTTTGACGCGTTTCGTCATTGGACGTAATCATAAAGGGTTTATGATTACGTCCAATGACGAAACGCGTCAAAGGGAGGTGACGTCAGACGCATACGAGAATACCGGAAGTGGAGTGGCGGCCATCTTGGAGAGGGCAAAAAATCGGCTGTGACTTGCGATTAGGACTCTCCTGGATTCCGGATGGCAGACAGGTCTTTATATGCTATGTGCGATGGAAAGATGTTTTTAATGTAAGCATGATAATTAAAAGTTTTGGATCTTAGTATGTGGCAGTATCACGCTATGATTTGTTCCTTATCTATGGGTATCTGACTGGCGTATATGGTGGAAACATATCCGAGTTGCTAGGGTGGAAGGATCCATACAGTATCATAGGATCAAAGCAAACCCTGAGGACATCTTCAAAAGGATTTATATCGCCAGGCAATTTCTGTGGATTGAGATCAAAAACATAAATTGCTTTGAATATTGGTAAGGGTATTCACTCCTTAAACTGATAGAAGTGTGCACTGTGTCATGAGTTTTTAGCACAGTAGAGTATTTCACATGCATGGTTTTGCACAGTATATCGCATGTGTATGTGGTTTGAAATATACACGTGTTTTCACTTGGGTGAATATTATCGGATTGATCTCACATGTAAATTTTTTTTATTTATAAAGGATAATGCACTATGTATATTTTGTTTTGTTTTTTTTGAGGTAATCAAGGTTTTGCAAGCAGCGGAGAGTTTTTTACACTTGAATCAATTTTTTGGACTACACGTATTTATTTATTTATTTTATTGTGATATTGGACTTTAATTTCAAATTGGACTTTAACACTATAACGGGAGGTTTTTTTTTTTTAATACTATTTCTGTGTCTCAATTTCTTCAGTATTCCTTGGAAATCCATGTAATTATTAACACTTTCGCTGTCAAGTAATTTTTTTTTTTCACACTCATACTAAAATGCACATCCTTTACATGCAAATAAACTTAAAACCCCCCCAAATTTCCATAAAAATATCCAGACATAAAACTGGACTAGCTATATAAAAAAAAAAAACCCAAAAAAACTTGCTTGCTAAGGGGGCACTCAGAGGAGGAGCAGAGACCGCTAGTGGGGGACTCCTGAAAAGCAAGCATTATGATACCATTGCACAGAGCAGGTACGTAGAACTTTTATTTTATTGAATAAATTAACTTTAGTACTTTTTTACTTAAAAAAAATCAGCATTTTTGCTAAAAAATTACCTAGAACCAACCCAAACATCATACATTTTCTAAAAGCAAAAGTGATAGAAAATAAAATTGTGGAAGCAATTTTTTATGTTGCATAATTGTGCAGCCCTTTATCAAATGCATATGTTCAGTAAAAAAATACACTAAAATGAATTTTAGTGCACACAAACACTAGATTAACCCAATTTTTGGAAAAATATAAAAGACGGTGCTGTGTCAAGTAAATACATATTAAACACTTCAAGACTCAAAACATTTTTTCATAGCTTTAAAAGTATTTATAGGTTATCAGTTTAGAGTTTACTGTGATTTATGGCTCTATGGTTCTTACTCCGCCGTCCATGGCAATACCTCACATATAGTGCAATTGCTTACATATATTTGCTGTACCAACACAAGTGTTTGCATTTGCATTTACACGCACAGGGGCTGCTGTGGTTTTACATCTATTTTTATCTTATTAATATGTTCTCTTTTTACATTTTAATTTTTTTTTTTCCCCATTTCATTTTATTGCTGCCACAAGGATGCCAACAAGCCTCTATGTGATAGCATGGCCAGGTGACAGGTACCATGAGCTAACCAAGCCCTGCTGGTACTAAGGGTTAAGTGTTTTGCCCTTCCAAACAGAAGATGATGTGCAATGAAGAATGGGAACAATTTCTAGGATGAAGTTCTCTATAATCAAACTAGGTGAGAACTATCTGATAAGATTACAGAATATGGAAGGAGCAACCTGAATGCCCCCAAACAACAAGGGCAAACAACCTACAGGGTGGATTGTGCCTTACTGGTGAATACTAGTGAAATAGAGATGCTGGCAGATCTCTGTGTGAGAGTTGGTAGAGCAGTCACATAATTGAAGATGTTTGGTGAGATGGGCAGGCAATAACTGAGGCATCCACATACTGCATGTTTTATGGGAAACAAACACATAAGGGGGTACTGAGAACAGGGACAATGCAACCTTTTCCAGTACTAAGTTACAAAACAAGTTGATTAATGCATAAGCCAATTGTTTTCAGAAGAGTACAGAGAGACTTCTCAACTCGTAAAACAGGCAACCTAGTAAATCTCGACCCTGATGGAAAGAGGACATATCAAAACTCAAGGCAGAGTCTAAGAGTTGTAGGCGAAGGAGACCTGTGTAGAAAAGGGGGTTTATGTAACCTCTTTATGTAGCAAGGAGTAGAGTACTACAAAGCCTACAAAAATTCACGTACAATCCAGTACAACTTCATGTGTGCGTAGCAACGTAACAGCATGTAATCGGAAGTGATGTCATGTACATGTGATCCCTCTGCAGATAATTACCAAATTGTAGCAGTAAGACTATTACTTCATTATTTCAATCCTGAAAAATTTTTTTTTTTCATATTTAAGAGTATTTTTGTTGTAAAGGAAGGTTGTTTTTGTTTCCCTCTCTCCTTCCGGGTTATTTTCATGTTTCCATGGTCTTGGTAATTTTTTTACGGACTGTTTAGGAGAAGGATTTTGTGCTTGTCCCCTTCAGATAATTGTCTGTATAGGCATAAGTCTGTTTTTTAGCTACACTTTAAAAAAGAAAGTGAATGAAAAAGGATCTTCATTGTAGGATCACCAGGTATTATTTCAATTAAATCCTCAAAATTTAAAAAAATACCGAAAACTACTTTTAAAATAATTTAGCATGTTTAAGCTTGTATGAGATTTTAATGTGTTTACATGTATTTGAAATTCTTTTTTTGTTTTCAGTATTCATTTTTCTGCTTTCTTAAAATCAATATAATAGATGCTTATTGTTTAAATGATTAACATTAACATCAATTACCTTTGAAGCCACCCCGCCCCCTCAGCCCTTGGCCTCGTGCGCCACCACGTCTTCTTCCATCCCCTCTCCGAATGTAGTTATCCCGATCTTCTTCTGCTGGTGCCAAAGACCAATCACTAAGCTCATCTCGGTGGTCAGATTCAGTTTCTGATGCGTTTGATGCTTCAGAATTTGTACCTGTTTCAAAATATACATTAGTATATTTCTGAATTGAAAACCCAAAGTAATTAAGATTGACAATTAATAGAGTCTATAAGAAACTGACAAACAAAAAAGCTGATGTGTTTAAAAACGGGATTTTTTTGGTACGCACCGTAAAATCTATTTTTTGAGTTGACTGACGAACACAGCTTCATCAGTCTTGACTATGGGTTATATCGCCACCTACAGGAGTAGGACACTAGGCACAAAAAGAACACAGCACCTCCTATTGACAGCCCTAGCTAGTATAAACCCCTTCCCTGCGATAGGCAAGCCAGTTAGTCACCAAGCAGCACAAGAAAAAACAAAAAGAGATAGGTGCTTGTGTCCTTCCATGCTCTCAAAGAGAGGGATTTTATGGAGATAATTACAAAATCCTGTTTTCTCTCTTGCATGCATTGACGGACACAGCTTCTCATCAGTCTTGACCATATGGACATTCCAATGTAGTGCTTCAAAGAGGGGTGGGAAAATAAAACAGGAGCCACTTACAACAATGGCACCAAAACTGGTAACCCACTGAAAGGAACCCTCACAGGAGAAGCCTTAAAAACTGTGGCCAAAGGAAGCAACCGAAGATGCAAAATAACAGCAACATGTAAAATATGAAAAAGTATGCACAGTTGACCAGGGAGCCACCTTGCAAACTTGGGATACAGACGCCTGTCACTGAAGCCCCTGGAGGCACTAGTCACCCTGACAGAGTGCGCCGTAATGGGGAAATGAGGAACCCTACCTTAATGGTGTAAAGTTGGAATCACGGTCAGCCTGATCCACTGAAGAACAGTGGCAGAGGAGGCCACCAAGCCGCAGACCATCGGTATCACAAACCAACAGTCCAATCTTTGGACGGACAGCTACCCATGAACCCCCCTGACAGCATCCAAGGAGAGCTGTTCAGCCTCCTCATAGTTCAAGGGATGAGGCAGGTAAAAATTGGATACCATCTCTGGAAGGAAGGAGAACCACTTTGTCCCTGCGAAAGTCTAATAAGGAGACTCATAAGGCAAAGCCACTAGCTCTGACATGTGGTGCATGGAAGTGACCGCAATCTTCCAAAAGAGCATAAACTAGAGAAACTCTATAGTATTTTCAAAGGGACGGTCTCTGAAGGAATTGAAGGAACTAGGTGCAAGTCCCATGATGGCAACAGAGAACATACAGGGGGTGCCACATGACGCACCCCTTGGATAAGAGTATGGCGCAAAGTGTATGTGGCCAAAGGACTTGAGAAACAAGACTGCAAGGACAAAGACCTGACCTTAATGGTTGTGCTCAACATCCCACTGGAGAAAGGCCAAAATTCAAACCACTGAGAAGGAATGTGGTGGAGCACCTGAAGTCTCACACCATGAGAAATAAGCATCCAAGAAGACAGATGGACCTTAGGAGAACAGCATAGGAGGAGTCATCAAGTCCAACATCAAGCCCCTCCTGTCTCTCAGAACCAGGCCATCAGCTGGCAAGCCAGTGAAAGCAAAGCAGGGTGGAAGATCGACTCTTGGGACAGAGGAACTGCTCATAGGGGTGGCCACCAAGATGTGTTCACAATCAGTGGCACCACAGTGGTGTATCGGGGACAGCGAGGCCAGTCCAGGGCCACCAGGATGACCAGAACCCCATCGGCCACTAGCCTGTGCAGCAGACAAAGAGGAAGCCTGAGAGAAGGAAAGGCATAAAAGGCAATACAGGTTCCACAGTACCATCAGGTCATTCGTCAAATCTGTCAGATGATCCCTCGCTACAACCTCGGTACTCTCCAGTTGAGGCGGAACTCCAGGAGATCCATGTCCGGTGTGGCCCACTGCAGACTGAGCTGATTAAATACTTCCAGGTAAATGACGACTGAAGTAATATGTCTTCCAGTTCATTCATGTCTGGAAAGTGTACGGCAGAGTGGGCCAGCACACAAAGATTCGCCCTCTGAAGGAAACTGGAGATCTCCAGAGCTGCTGTCACACTTTCCGTGTTGCCCTGATGGTTGACATAGGCCACTGCCGTTACATTGCCTTACCAGAGGCCCATGAATAAGCTCTGTTCACTGCAGTGGACATAGCCCGATCACCCAAACTTCAAGGCCATTCAGCGGTAGTCGAGTCTCCGCTGGTGCCCAAGGGCCTTGAGCCAACCCCGACCCGCCAGACTAGCCTCCGTAGTGACCCCTGTCCATGCAGCGGGAGAAAATGGACTTCCTGGCCAGAACAAGGGAGACCAGAACCTCCAGGCCAGAAGGGCCTGGCCCCCTGTTCCAGTTGCTCTGGTTGTCCAAGAACAGTGTCCCACATTGACACAATATATTTCTGCAGATCCTTCAAGAGGAACTGCGCATACAGGACCACCGCAAAAGTGGATACCATGAGACCCAGAACCTGTGTGAAGGATATAAAGAAAACCCCACAGAGTATGTATCATGAACGTTGTCTATCAGTGCTGTACGAGACCCTACTCAGAGGAGAGGTGAGTCCAGATGGCCATCCATGACAATCCCTCATTGTCTTAGCAATGCCAGGACCAAAACCCAAGGGGCAGAGGCTAAGCCCAAGGGGAACTCCACAAACTGTAAATGAGTGTCCTTGGCACTGATGAACACAGGCCAAGCCCCCCACTGGCTGAAGGTACCAAACAGCCACACCAACAACCAGGCAGGGCACCGGCATTATCATCTTTGTAAATGTTGCAGTCTTCAGGAAGCAATGTCTGCACCATGGAGTGCGCATAGTCGGCCAAAATGTTAACATAGTCGCTGGAAGTGAATCTACCTATCTAGGTAATGATGGGACCTACAGAATACCAATATATGGCTACCCAAAGCATGACTGCGCCACCACCATGCTTTACAGTTGGCACAAGACAGCTGTGGTCGTAAGCTTGGGATGGCGTTTGCCACACGAAAACACATCCAGTGGTTGGGAACAGAAGGAAACTCGATTCATCAGACCATATTACAGTCTTCAACTGATCGATAGCCCACAATGTATGGGTGTTGCACCACTCTCTCCACTTCTGTGCATTAATATGTCCTTAGTGGTTTGGCAGTTGCAGCTCGCCTGTGACTGTTTTGCTTATGGAGTTTCTTCCACACAGTTTTTGTGGATAAGTGCTTTGAAAAACTGAGATTGAGCTCTGCAGTCAATTTTGCAGCAGTTTTTTTCTTATTCTGGTTCACAGTCCTGTGCAATGTACTTTAGAATCTTTAGGTCAGTTGACCATGTCATCCGCACTTATGTTTGTCAGACGACGTTTTTCCCAAAACTGTTCATGATGTAATAACCTTTGATACTTTTTCTTCGCAACACCACAAATAAATTGGCAATTTCAGTCAGAGGCACAGCTAAGCAAGCACCAACAATTTGCCCTCTGACATTCAGTAAGCTCCAAAATTACTCCTATATTACTAACGGCGTACCCAATGAATGACGAAAGTGAGGTTTCCCACTTGTTAGCTAGGCGTCTCATTACACAGCAGAAGCAAAAGAATGCTACATTCACAATGTTACATCGCTTTCAAAGCAAAAAATTTCACTTTCACACCTGCAAATCATGTATTGTTTCCATATTTTTGTCCAACCCCTGTATATTCACATTTTGATTTAATCTGCAGCATTCTGAGCCGAAGGTTCGCCCCCCGCCCCAACCCCCGCAGCCTTCTGTGACATATCAGAGGTCCCAGAAGACCGTGGCCCATTCACAAAGTGCAGCGCGCTTCGGGCATGCGCAGTAGGATTTCAGCTGTGAAGCCGCAAGCCTCAACTTCCGGTTTCTCTTACTGAAGATGCCGGCGCAGATTGAAGGATTGAAAAATCGGCTCAGGTGAGGACATCGCTTGACCCCCAGGACACTTAAGTGCCCTTAATTTAAAAGTCAGCATCTACAGTATTTGCAGTTGCTGACTTATTTTTTTGGGGGGGAGCCCGGAGCTACGCATAAACACAACACACTGAGTGTTAACACAACACATAAGAACACGTGGGTCTGAAATGGTCCTAAATGATAGGTGGTACTTGGCTTAGTTCTTCATAGTACTGTCATGATAAAAGATTAGAGCAGCATCCTTTCTTATATAATAGTGTAACAGTCATTATTTTGCCAACTTAATGTTCATGAAATATTAATCTTGACTTAAACAATCAGAAAAAATGCCTCTTTGGACTAGAGTACAAAGTCAAAAAGACCCACCTGAGGCATATCCTGTACCCCGCCTGCTGCGCCCTCTGTTGTTGTAGGGACGTCCTCCCCGTCCAATACCACTGCAGTCCTCACTCAGATAGCCCTTCTCTTTGTCAGGGCGATTCTGTGGAGGCCTTGAGCTGGCTCCGATCTGCCGAAGCTGTTCATCAATCTGAAGCCGCTCCAAGCGGAGTTGGTCTACTTCCTAGTATCATTGAAAACATATTAGATCTTTGTAACCCAGTAAGATAAAGAAAGACAACATTCAGAGGCATTAACATTCAGAGGCATTACTGACCTCATATCTGTGCATGACAAATTACAATAACTTTACAAAACTTTAAAAAGACCACAAAAACCTTTCATAAAAAGCATGCTGATGTGAGGTTGTAGAAATTACCTTTAAATAGTTCAGGTGGTAGTCCAGTAGAACTGTTGCATTGGTGATACTGTCCTTTGTACCCACAAAAACAAACGGAACCATTCCCTGAAAGAAAAATACAAAAACAAAAATTGGCACAATGCACAAAAAAAAATATTTTAAATATGCACAGAAAAACGGTAAAATCCCTTTCTCTCACATCATTGATGGACACAGCCCTTTATATTCTTGACCAAAGGGTTATAGCGCCGCCTTCCACAGCAAAACAACAAGCACAGCACTGTCTGGGCAGTCCTAATTGGTAGTAAACCCCCTCTCTGCAAAAGGAACTTGAGGCTGCCAGCTCTGACACGTGACGTACAGAAGAGATAGCAACCAAAAAGAGGAGACATTCTGGGAGAGTGTAGGCAAAGGAAGATCCCTCATATTCTCAGAAGGACCAGCAGAACCAGGATCAGGTCGCACGGTCGCGACGGGGAACGCACAGGGTGTGCGACATGCTGAGTTATCTGAATGAAAGTAGCACCCAAGGTGCGCCTGTCCAAAGGCTGTTGAAATAAAATCAAAAGGACAGAAACCTTTCCTTTTATGGTACTCAAGGCCAGTTTCTGATCAACGCCCCATTGGAAAAAGTCCAGGAACTGAGACACCGAGAAAAAACGTGGATGCAAATTCGCAGCCTCACACCATGAAATATAAGCCTTCCAGGTACAGTGATAGATCTTCTGAGAGGTGGCTTTTGCCGGTCTTCAATATAGCGGGGATCACAGAAGCAGACAATCCCCTGTCCCTAAGAACAGGCTTTCACTAGACAAGCCATCAAAGCCAGAGGAGGTAAAAGCAGGATGGAAGATTGGCCCTTGGGAAGATTGTGATGCAAAGAAAGTAACCAGGGGACATCCTCAACCAGCCACACCACATTGGCGTACTAGGGTTGCTGAAACCAATCCGGAGCTACCAGAATGACCATGATCCCTTCACTCTCTATCCTGCACAGCAGATGAGGGAGAAGGTTGAGCACAGAAAAGATGTAAATGAGTCGATAAATAGCCCCACAGCGCCACCAGGGTGTCTATTGCATCTGCCAGGGAATTACTTGCTCTTGGCACAAATATAAACATCTTCCTGTTGAGACGAGAGGCCAGCAGATCCACATCCAGCGTGCCCAATCACAGACAGATTTGGTGAAAAACGTTCGGGTGCAGGGACCACTCTTCTTGATCCAGCATCTGATGACAGAGGTAGTCTGCCCACCAGATGTCCATGCCTGAAATGTAAACGGTGGAGACTGCTGACACATGAAGTTCCATCCACCAAAAAAATGTGTAAGGCCTCCAGCACCACTGCTGAACTCCTCGTACAGCCCTGGTGATTGACAGGCCACTGCTGTGGTGTTGCCCGGCTGGATCCTAACAAGGCGCCGGTAAAGAAACTCCGTCCAGTTGGAAAGGCACAGTCTGATTTCCTGTAACTCCAGGAAATTGCAGGGCAACCAAGACTCCTTAAGTGTCCCAAATTCCCCCCCCCCCCCCAGACAGGCTAGCGTTGTGATCACCATCCAATGGAGAAGGAGAAACAAATTTCTAGGCCAAAGAGTTGCTGGAATGCCTACGAGACAGCCTTGAGGCCCTGTACCAGCTGGGGTACCTACTCATTACCCAGATCGTGGCATTAGAGCTTAACCCACTCAGTGAGCGTCTGAGACACAAGAGCCATGGCCAAAACCAGGCCAGCACTCAAACACAGAGCAGGCAATCAATTCCACCTTGCTGTTTGAGGAATCCTTGACAGAAAGAGACCCCTTTCACTGGCATTATGGTCGTCTTGTTTAACCTGGAGATGGGAGGATACACGACAGGAGGAAAGGTCCATTTTTGCAGGACGGCGTCCTTAAAGTGGTAACACAGCGAAAAATGTTTCGCAAACAGACTACAAATGACTAGTGTGGGCATTCCTGAAATAGGTAAGGAAAATCTTAGCAGCACGGACCGGCTCGTGAGAGCCAAAGAGGACAGCCACCTCCTCAGACCGACTAAGAAGTATCCTCAATTTGTACGGTTTCCTGCACTGAGGTAATGAGTGCAGTCACCAGTGCCTATTCATGCATAGCAATAGCAGCAGAGGAGTCATCCTCACTGTCAAAAGGATCGGGGACCATGTCTTCTGAGCATGCAGGGAATGCTAGGCCCCCTACGGCCGAGTCAGAGACTCTGGCTCAGAAGGGCAGGGGATATTTTTTACTTACAGTGCATCCAGACAACTCAGCCAAGGAGACAAATAATTCTAGGACCACCAACAGAGCATCCAAGGGAACAGAGGACCACACAGACCACGCCGCCTCAAAAAGGGGGTCTGAGGGGGATGCGTGTGCCTGGGACTCCATAGGTAAAGCATACCCCAGACCAGGCACTGCTTGGTACAAAACTCCCATGAGGAGGAGACAACAAACTACCCCTAACTGCTGCTGCAGACAGGTGGAACCCGAGACTCACCACCAATTCAGAACACCTGAGGAGCAGTACTGGGATTTACTACCATCTAGGACAGCCCATGGGCGGTGCTGTGTTTGTTATTTTTTTTTTCCTATTGTCCTACTCCTGAAGGTGGTGGTGTAACCCTACAGTCAAGGATATGAAGTGCTGGGTCTGTTAATAAACGAAAAAGAAATATAAACTCATACTGGCAAGTCTACGGTGCAAAACAAGATTCACAGATTCCATGAGAATAACAGTTCCGCCTGTAACTGAAGCGAGTTCCAGGCTCCAAATTCAGTTGGGTGCAACTTTACATTGGTCTTTTTTAAAGCAACTAGACCATGAGGCTCAAATTGGTCAGATCACCAGTACAGTGGATTGTCAACAAATAGAAAAAATAGGCAAATATTAGGAGCCAGACTGTAAATATGACATACATACAGCTGGTGCTGAGGTTCCACAGCAAACTGTGTTATCTTCAACGGAAGCATGTATTTTTTGCTTCTTTTCAACAAAGTGCTTACCATCTCTTAGATTAGGTTGTCTGGCCCTAAATTCTGCAATCATTTATAGAATACTAGCATGAGGCTAACTTTTGGCTTTTAGTGAAGTTTAAATAGTTTGTTTGGACCCAGCTGGTCCAAACAAACTATTACCTTTACTAACAAATGTAGTGGTTGTCAGCATTGTATGCACTGTATGTAGCCTCAGCTACATCCATTATACAGCTCTAAGCTCCAGCAGTGGGGCGAAAACTTTATGTCCCACACCTGGAACAAAATCGAGTTGGGCTGAGTTGTTCTCAGCCTTTCACAAGGAGCTTTGTACTGGAATTAGACAAAAAAAAAAAATGGAAACGCTACATGATTTGCAGGTGTGAAAGTGACACATTTTACGCGTAAAGCGGAAGTGAAGTACATTTTTTTTGCTTCGGCTGTGTGTTGAGACACCTAGCCAACTGGTGGGAAGCCTCACTTTCATCATCTGCTGCATGTGCTGCTAGTAATACAGTCGTGTCAGAGCTTACTGAGCTTCAAAGAGGGCAAATTGTTGGTTCCAGCTTAGCTGGAGCCCGTGACTTAAGTTTCCAATTTATTTTAAGTATCGCTACGTACAATATCAAAGGTTATGAAGGCATATACAGTTTCCGGGAAAATGTCGTTTGATAAGCATAAGCACAGTCGACATGGTCAACTGACCGAAAGAGACAAAAAAGGACTGCTGCAAAAGTGACTGCAGAGCTAAATCTCAGTCTTCACGGCTGTCATTTGGGGAAAATTTGTACTGTCATGTCGTTTTGGGGCCTCAAGAAATGAGACAGGCCACCAGTACATCAAGATCAACTATATACAGTATATACTTGAGCCACTCCTCTGTTGCCTTCGGGGTGTGTTTTGGGTCACTGTAATGCTAGAAGACCCATTCACGACCCATCTTCAGTGTTTTGGCTGAGGAAGAAGGTGCTCATTTAAGATTTTACAATACATGGCCCCTTCCATTAGCTCCTCGATGCGGCAAAGTCAGCCTGTACCATTAGTAGAGAAACAGCCCCAAAGCATAATGGTGCCACCTACATGCTTGACTGTAGGGATGGTGTTCTTAGGGTCATAGTCAGAATTTTTCTAATGCCAAAGAGATCAATTTTGGTCTCATCTGACCACAGCACTTTCTTCCAATCCTTCTCTGAATCATTTAGATGTTCATTGGCAAACTTCAGACGGGCCTGTACATGTACATTCTTGAGGAGTGGGACCTTGCGAACACTGTAGGATTTCAATCCATGGCGGCGTATTGTGCTACCAATGGTTTGTTTGGTGACTGTGGTCCCAACTGCCTTGAGATCATTCACAGGCTACTCCCATGTAGTTCTGGCTGATCCCTTACTTTTCTCATGGTCATCCTTACCCCACGAGGCAAAATCCTACATGGAGCTCCAGACCGAGGGCAATTGTTGGTTATTTAGTATTTCTTCCATTTGCGAATAATTGCTCCAGTTATCTCAGTTATCCAGAATTATTGTTGGTTTGTATGAGATAAAATAATTACTCACTGAACTGCAACTCAATTTATACCATTTGTATTTTGTGTTTTTTCTGGATTTTTGGTTGGTATTCTGTCTCTATCATTTAAAATACACCTATGATACAAATTATAGACCTTTCATTTCTTTGTAAGTGGGGCAAACTTACAAAATCTGCAGGCGATCAAATAATTATTTTCCCCACTGTACAGTTGCAAGAAAAAAGTATGTGAACCCCTTGGGATTAGGTGGAGTTTTGCATGAATTGGGCATAAAATGTGCTCTGAACGTCATCTAAGTCACAACAATAGAAGAACACAGTCTGCTGAACATAATACTACACAAACATTAGATGTTGCCATGGTTTAATTGCACATAACATGTAAACATTCACAGTGCAGGGAGGAAAAAGTATGTGAACCTTTGGACTTAATAACTGGTTGACCCTCCTTTGGCAGCAATAACCACAACCAAACGTTTCCTGTAGTTGCAGATCAGACCTGCACAACGATCTGGAGTCATTTTGGACCACTCCTCTTCACAAAACTGTTTCAGTGTAGCAATATTCTTGGGATGTCTGGTGTGAATCGCTCTCTTAAGGTCATGCCACAGCATTTCAATCGAGTTGAGGTCAGGACTCTGACTGGGCCACTCCAGAAGGCGTATTCTGTGCTGTTGCAGCCATTGTTTTGTTGAATTACTTGTATGCTTTGGGTCATTGTCCTGTTGCATCACCCATCCTCTGCGGAGCTTCAGTTGGCGGACAGATGGTCGGACGTTTTCCTGCAAAATGTCTTGATAAACTCTGGAATTAATTTTCCCATCAATGACAACAATCCGTCCAGGCCCTGAGGCAGCAAAGCAGCCCCAAACCATGATGCTCCCTCCGCCATGTTTCACAGTGGGGATGAGATTTTGATGTTGGTGTGCTGTGCCTTTTTTTCTCCACACATAGTGTTGTGTGTTCTTCCCAAACAACTCAATCTTGGTTTCATCTGTCCACAGTATATTTTGCCAGTAGTGCTGTGGAACATCCAGGTGCTCTTTTGCAAACTTCAAACGTGCTGCAATATTCTTTTTGGACAGCAATGGCTTCCTCCGTGGTGTCCTCCCATGTACTCCATTCTTGTTTCATGTTTTCCTTATTGTAGATGTGTCAACAAAAATGTTAGCATGTGCCAGAGATTTCTGTAGGTCTTTAGCTGACACTCTGGGATTCTTCTTTACCTCATGCGGCATTCTGCGCTGTGCTCTTGCAGTCATTTTTACAGGACGACCACGCCTAGGGAGAGTAGCAACAGTGCTAAACTTTCTCCATTTGTAGACACCATGGACACATGAACATCAAGGCTTTTGGAGATATTTTTGTAACCCTTTCCAGCTTCATGCAAGTCAACATTTCTTGATTGTAGGTCTTCTGAGAGCTCTTTTCTGCGAGGCATGGTTCACATCAGACAGTGCTTCTTGAAACCAGTAAACCCAAAACAGGTGTGTGTTTTTTAAGGGCAGGACAGCTTTCAGCAACACATCCAATATCATCACACTGATTGGAGTCAAGGTTGGCTCACTCCTGGCTCCAATTAGCTCTGGGAGAAGTCATTAAGCTAGGGCCTCACATACTTTTTCCTCCCTGCACTGTGAATGTTTACATGTTATGTGCAATTAAACCATGGCAACATCTAATGTTTGTGTAGTATTATGTTCAGCAGACTGTGTTCTTCTATTGTTGTGACTTAGATGACGTTCAGAGCACATTTTATGCCCAATTCATGCAAAACTCCACGTAATCCCAAGGGGTTCACATACTTTTTCTTGCAACTGTATTTACTCGGTGCAACTTCATCTTTTATATTTTACCAAAACATTTGGTAATTTACTGCGTTTTTGTGCCTTAAAATTAATTTTAGTGTGTTTTTTACAAAAATTTTGCGTTTCCTAGACGTTTGCAGTAATATTGTGTGGCTTAAAAAATTGGAACTACCACGCATTCCTACTTCACTTCTTTAGGGTATCTGTTTTTTTAGAAAATATATCATGCTTTGGTGGTTTTAAGTAATCTTCAGTGATTTTTAAACGTATGCAAAAAAATCCTCACAAACTGCTCTGGTAGTGAAAGGGTTAAAGGATAAGTTCACCTTTGGGACACATAACATGTTCCAGCTTCTGCAGCTGCTCGGGGATTCCCTGCCTCTGTGTGACAGCAGTACAGAGAAAAGTTCCCCTTACCAGCTGTCACTTTTTGAAAAGCGCACGGCTGTGCGAGCCACACCACCACGTTATTCATTCACAGAGTTCTGTGAATTAATCAGCTACAAGTACTGGCATCCTTTGCTGGTGTCGGCTTGTAGTTCTCAATGAACTACCATGGTGCTAGCGAGCACTCTGGTAGTTAATTGATTCTTCCTAATTCAAATTCAAAGAGCCTCCCTCTGACGTCATTGTGCTGTCGGCCATCTTGGATATGGTTCATGTGAATGCTTTTAATTGTTCTACAGCTTGTAAGTAGGATCCTATTTGAGTAAATAAAGAAACTTTTGATATGTATTGCACTATGAGAGGCATGTTTTTTCTTTCATGACCTTGTCTGGCACTACACTTTGAGTTTACATTTGAGTTGGAGTCTGGGAAGTTCCATGCTTTGGGGCGTGATACAGGAAGCCTGCCAGTACTCTACACTATAAAGCTGGTTGGGACCCCCTGTAATTAAAGAGTTTCCACTTCTGGTAAGCCTCCATTCGTTATTTTGGTGGTGGTGGTGTGCACTCTGGCGACCAGTTGAAGCAAGTTTATCTACATTTGCACTTACAGCATTGTCTACAATAATACCATCGATTGTGGATTTTTCTTTTCATACTTATGGACTATGGTTTTTTCTTTTCATACTTATGGACTATGGTTTATGTCCATATGGACTTTTTGTTGATTTTTTTTGTCTTTGAAACTTTTCTATTAACCTTTAAGTATATTTGAGGTGAATATAATTGCACACTGAAATTGATTTATCCTCAACCTCGTTAAGGTGTGGGGGTCTTCATAGGGCTCATAGATAATGCATGAAATTTTAGGTTTATTTGACCATATATCATGTTTTTTTTTTTATATGTATTTATGATTACTGTACTCAGTTTATTCAATTGATTTTTTTCAGAGGGGTGCAGGTCTTCATAGGGCATATATATGCACTTATTTAGTTTAATTATCAGTATTTTATTTTCATTTTTTGATCACTTTGTGTGCGTAGGTCTTCATAGTGCTCACAAAGTTATAAGGGTTCACCTAGCACAGTATCCATTTGAACTAGCCTTTTAAGAGATGATATCCTCTTATATACTTGCAGCTTTGTGACTTCAGTCGATTAGGGATTTGCACGGTTTGATCTTACATACATTAAATTGATTCTTCCTGTCAGTGTAAAACTGCCTGCCCGTACGATGTATAACATACGATGTACAGGCAGACAGCTTACACTGACAGTCTGCAGGAGTCCTGCATTACACCTATGATCTGCTGATCGCTGGTGCAATGCTTTCTAGGCTCCAATAAAAAAAAAAAAAATATTATAAAAAGTAAATGTTATTGTTCTATATAGTTTTTTACCTGCAAAAATGTGCATTTACTATTATTTTTTTTAAAGATGAACTTATCCTTTAACAGAGCGGACACTGGAGGTTGATTTGCTGCTCAGCATGCGCGTGTACAGAGCACCCAAGTGCTTCCGTGTGTGATGGTAACCTGAAGGAATAAAGTTTTTTTTTCCCCCTCACTAGGGCCGGTGCCGCATTTACTCGCTCAACAGAAGCATTTCTGCTGAGTGTTAAAAGAGCCCGACACTCCCCTTTCCTGATGAGCACCCAATCGGTGCTCATTACACTGCAAGGTCTCTCCCCTCCCCGCTAGTCCCCAGGGGGCTTTGTTGGAGACAGGTAGGGAGGTGAGGAGGAGATAAATAGAGCAATGTTAAAAATATTAAATGTTTAAGTTGCCATAAAGCCCCTTTCGTTTTTAAAAGCCCCAGAAATTCCTAAAAGAACCTCAGATTTTTTATCAGTACAAGTAGATTGTCATGAGGGACAAGTAGATAGGGACACAGATTTAGTCCTTGGACAAGTAGTTTTTTTTTTAAAACACTTCCACACTACTGAAAATTTTTTTTTTTCTAAATTTTTGGTCTTTTATTGTTTATATCACAAAACATAAAAAACCCAGTGGTGACCATATACCACCGAAAGAAAGCTCTATTTGTATGAAAAAAATGATAAAAATGTGATTTGCGTACAGTATTGCATGACCGAGCAAATGCCAGTTAAACTAGCGCAGTGCTGAATAGCAAAAAAATGCCCTGGTCATGAAGGGGGTAAAAACTTTCTGGAGCTCTAGTGGTTAAAGCTTAAGCGATGTGCAACAATGGGTATAAAAGCACAATATACAGTGTTTTAAATGTATACAACACAAAAAGATACAATAAATTAACAAAACCAAAAAAATTCTGCAAATGAAAACTAAAACAAAAATATAACCAACTATCAGATTTACCTCTTCTTGGGAGATATTTTTATCATTTTCTGCTTCAATCCTAACTCGAACAACCCCCGATTTATCGACTATTTCCTGGATGAGTTTCCCATTCTTCCCAATAACCTTTCCTAAAAACAATAAAACGTGAAGCATTGCTATAAATTGGATAATCAAACACAGTATAAAAAAAACTGCAGTTCTCAATATAATAATAAAAAAAAACACATACATGTATAAACCATACAATTTTGAGGCTGTAGTGATGGTGGGAGACCACATTTTGTATTATTGCGGAGAAATGCAGTGTTGCCACTGCTTGCCACCAATAGTTGGTACAGTCAATAGGATAAACACAACAAAGAACTCATCCTTGTACTCTCTCCCTCATGTTAACATATCAGACGGACAGCAGTGCATGATGCTATGGAGTCCTGCAAGCAAAAATGCTTCCTATTTATGTCTTTGAGGTTTTATGTGCAGTGAATTACAGGAAAGTGATATAAAGACAGATGTACTTGTTAAACCCATATTTGGGGAGGGGGAAAGAGTTTTTTTTTTTTTTTTTTTTAAATAGTAAATGCATAACTAGATTAAAGGATATTTTTATTTTCCTGAAATTCTTCTTTAATAGGTATATTTATCTATATTATAACTACAGACCTTATATCAACATTCCCCTAGATCAGTGATGGCGAACCTATGGCACGCGTGCCAGAGCTGGCACGCAGAGCCATCTCAGTGGGCACGCCAGGAAGAAAAGGATGATGAGCGCGCATGGACCGGCCATCCAGATCTCGTCCACACTGGATCCCCATCAAACTACATTTCCCACATGTCTCTGGGGCCAGGGTGGGGCGTGGACGAGAGGAAACGGCTCCAATGCGGCCCTGGCACCAGGGGTGATGTACCCGGGGATGGGCGCGGAAGAGAGGAAGAGGCTCCCACACTGCTCCGGGGCCAGGGGCAACGTGTTCAGCGTGGATGGGAATGAGCTGCTGGGTTGGAAGCCACACCGACGCTGCCAGAGGTGAGATTGCTTGCAGTGTCATCCATCAGTGCCCAGCAGTGTCGCCCATCAGTGCTGCCCATCAGTGCCACCCATCAATGATGCCCAGCAGTGCCATCCATCATTGCCCAGCAGTGTCGCCTGTCAGTGCTGCCCAGCATGCCACATGTCAGTGCCCAGCAGTATCGCCCATCAGTGCCACCCATCAATGATGCCCAGCAGTGCCATCCATCAGTGCCCAGCAGTGTCGCCCGTCAGTGCTGCCCAGCAGTGTCGCCCGTCAGTGCTGCCCAGCAGTGTCGCCCGTCAGTGCTGCCCAGCAGTGTCGCCCGTCAGTGCTGCCCAGCAGTGTCGCCCGTCAGTGCTGCCCAGTGCTGCAGTGTCGCCCGTCAGTGCTGCCCAGCAGTGTCGCCCGTCAGTGCTGCCCAGCAGTGTCGCCCGTCAGTGCTGCCCAGCAGTGTCGCCCCAGTCAGTGTGCCCAGCAGTGTCGCCCGTCAGTGCTGCCCAGCAGTGTCGCCCGTCAGTGCTGCCCAGCAGTGTCGCCCGTCAGTGCTGCCCAGCAGTGTCGCCCGTCAGTGCTGCCCAGCAGTGTCGCCCGTCAGTGCTGCCCAGCAGTGTCGCCCGTCAGTGCTGCCCAGCAGTGTCGCCCGTCAGTGCTGCCCAGCAGTGCTGCCCGTCATGATGCCCATCAGTGCCGCCCGTCAATGATGCCCAGCAGTGTCATCCATCAGTGCCCAGCAGTGTCGCCTGTCAGCGCTGCCCAGCAGTGTCGCCTGTCAGCGCTGCCCAGCAGTGTCGCCTGTCAGCGCTGCCCAGCAGTGCCGCCTGTCAGCGCTGCCCAGCAGTGCCGCCTGTCAGCGCTGCCCAGCAGTGCCGCCTGTCAGCGCTGCCCAGCAGTGCCGCCTGTCAGCGCTGCCCAGCAGTGTCGCCTGTCAGCGCTGCCCAGCAGTGCCGCCTGTCAGCGCTGCCCAGCAGTGCCACCTGTCAGTGCTGCCCAGCAGTGTCGCCCGTCAATGATGCCCAGCAGTGCCACCGATCAGTGCCGTCTGTCAATGCGTCCAGGTAGGCAAGTGGTTAATTGCAGTGTTGGCACTTTGAAATAAAAAAGTTGGTTTGTGTTGCAGTTTTGGGCACTCGGGCTCAAAAAGGTTCGCCATCACTGCCCTAGATTATGCGGTCATGACCATCTCCATGCCTTGCTCCTGTCCATGTTCAGTACAACAAACTAAAGAGAGGCTTGATTTCAGCTCTAAAGTTATAGTTACATAATTATTCAAAACGGCTAAATGGAGAAAGTATTATTTAAAAGGAAATGGATATTTAGGAAGCAACAAAGTGTTGCACCCGCAAAGTTTGAGTGCAAATAACCATGCACATCTGAACCAACCCTGATCACAATCCTGTTCTTACATCAGTGCCCTCAGTCTCACAGCACATCAATTTACTCCCCTTCACATCACAGTCCCCAATTGAGAGCAGAATCCTTAGCCCTCCTTCACATTTTCCCAGCCCCGCCCACTAAAGTAGTGTTCTCAGCCTCATTTCACATCACCCACTACCCCCATTCTTCACACTAGTGTCCTCAGTCCCCCTTCACTATCCAACCTTACATAGGGTGGAGGGCAGGATGCACAGCAGGTCTGGATGGAGAGTGGGAGTTGCAAGTTTGTGACTGGTTGCTAGGACCACACTGCATTCGATCAGCCAATCACCTGCTTGTTAACATGAAAAGATCATTTGGGCAGCTCCCATCCTCCATCCAAAATGATCCTGCCTCCCGCTGTCTTCTCTGCAGTGAGGATAACTGTAGTGATGGCTGGGGTTGCAGGGGGTGTGGAGAACCAGCTCCTAAATGGTGCAACCGCAGAGGTGCAGATAGGATAGTGACTCAGTCTGGACCTGGACCATGGTCATCCATTTAGTGATACCTGGCCTAGGGGAAGTACACTCCCAAAGGAGCACAGGGCTGAGCAAGCACACACACGTTAACTAGTACAGAATAAGACTTAGGGCACCCTCACCACTTTGCTCTGCATTGCATGCTAAGAGAGAAAAAAAAACAAACAGAGCGCTCACTGAGTGGAGTAGAGGTACACCCAGGGGTGCATGTCCAGCAAAGCTTTGCCAGTGTTCAATCACTAGCCTATAACCCAGGGTCTATAAATATCCAGCTTGTGTCCTCTGCAGTACACGTAATATAAAAATAATGGGATAAGTCCAAGGATGACATAACCACAAAGGGAGATAAGAACAAAAAAAAAAAAAAAAAAAAAAAAAAACAGGTCCAAAAAATAAATAAATAAATAACCGGTCTACAATGGGATAAGTCCAAGGATGACAGAACCACAAAGGGAAATAAGAACTAAAAAAAAAAACAAAACAAAAACAACAGGTCCAACAGAAAAAAATAAATGAATAAATAACGGGTCTACAAGAGAAAGCCTAAGCCCCATAATCCTAACGGATAACACGGGATCCATGAGGATGACAGGCAAACAACCTAACAGTGAGATATTGATAAAACGAGTCCTCGAAGCATAATATCATAATAGATAGCTGACCAGCCCTAGAAGCTGGTAGTAGAAAGCTTCTAGGAAAACATGCATAAAGTGCATAAAACCCTTAGGGTCTAGTAGAAGGTACAGAGGTAGCTGTGTTGCAGGCTCCACGAGCCATTAGGACCAAACCCTGTCATATTTCTTACAGCAGCCCCTGTGTAAATAAGTATCTTTGTACAATGGTAAACTAGCATTTACTGTTTCCAGAAGGAGATAGAAGGGAGGGTGGACTTTTTCCACTGCAGTGCGATAGCTTTTCTGGCATAGAAGAGTAGAATACTAGATAGGGTCCTTTCAGCTCTAGTGGAAATTAGATCTTTAACCAGACCCAACAAGCAGGTCAATATATTGGGTTTTAGAGAAGTAGGGCACCTTGGTCCTTCAATTTTAAGATTATGTATACAAAACCACTGGCTGCTTAATGAATGTACCTGAATTTCCCATCCGAGAGACAGTGGCTTCACCTTGGTCTACTCATATGCACCTCTATGGGCAACATGCACATGCTATGAATTCCAGTCTTCCCTACTGACTGATATTAGTCTATTAAAGATTAGGAAAGTCCATTTAGATTTGTAAATTAATTTTTAAATGTATTAATTCCCTGCTTGGTTCCTTTTTTGGGGTTCCAGGCATCCTCGGGTGGCCCTAGAAATACTTAAATTGCCAATACACAGGGGGACTAGCTTTGCCTGACTTACAAATGTATTATTTTGCTTTTCAGTTGATGTATATGCACTGGAGGATGTTTCCGCAATTAAATAATGCAGCCACGGCTGTTGAGGCGGCGGTGGCTACCTCTTATGAGGCTTTATTGAAACAATTCAAGAGAGGTTCCATCCAAAGATGGTATGGATATACTATTGGAGTCCAAAAAAATGGTATGTGTGAAATATGTTTCGGATACACCCGTAGCCATGTCGCCAAGTGCACCTCTCTGGTGTAATCCAAATTTTCCTGAATTTATAAGATGGAGGGGGAACAACAATGGGCCCAATATGGTCTCAAATGTGCACATCAGCTTTTTGTGCAGGGACGGCTGAAGTCTTTTCTGCAACTGAGGTCATAACAGGGAGTGGAGGGTTCTTGGTATTTTCAGTATGTTCATTTGAGGCATGCAGCAGTAGCTCAATATGGCCCTGGGGAAGTTACTCTGAACAATACCAGACTGGAAAACTTTCTCATACAAACGCAACACACTAAATTGGTATCGTCATACTAAGTGGAATTGACTTTAATAGACAGTAGGCAATGTCATCGTACACGCGAGCGATGGTTTGAAATGGTTCCAGATTTAACAGAAGAGAGCTGGAAAGATGTTTTGGCCACCTATGCGAGTAGAGTTATTTCTTCAAGGGATAAAATGATTCAACTGCGTTATTTACATCAAATGTATTATACACCTCAGCGTCTCTATTGTATGGGGAGATGTAACACAGCCATTTGTCATAAATGTCAGGTTAATACGGGATCTTTTTTACACATGGTTTGGGAATGCCCTAAAGTTAGGCCCTTGTGGTCTGCAGTCACAGCATTTATCTCTTTGACTTGTCTAATGTATGTAGCCCTATGGTGTGTCTTTTAGGAGTACTTGAAGATGAGCATATGAATAACGCCACCAAACTTTTTCTGAGAATCTTATTCTTTTATGTGCAAAAGCTGATAGTGTTACACTGGATACGTTCTGATACTCTGGAATTGAGGGCATGGAAAAAATTGGTTAATGTGGATGTTCAGATGTATGAGATAAAGTATGAAGCAAGGGGGTGTGCAGGGAAATTCAGAAAGATGTGGTCCCGGTGGGTGGACTCCAGTGAATCGGTACCGGATGATTCTTAAAGGATGAAGATAGGTTTCATTTTTGGAGGGGAGGTGCTCCGACAGTATTTGGAGTAGAGTGGTGTGATGAGCCCCAGACAATATGTATTTCTACTTTTTCTTTTTTAGGTGGAGAAGTGCTATCCCGGCTAGTTTTTGTTTTGAATTGGGGGGAGGGAGGGGTGGGGTATAGTTTGGTTGGGTGGTTCTGGTTTTCCATGTTTACAAAATGTAATAAGGGCTTTTATGCAAATGTGACACTAATTACCACATAATTAACTTTGATATGTTTAGATCTGTTTTTTCCATACAGTGATTAGATGTATGATAGATATGCCACAAATCTTGGAAGAATGTAACATTCCTACTGTTTGATGGATTGCTAATGTTTTTTGACATGTATGCATATTTGGATATGTATTTGTTTGCATATGGCAATAAAAACACTTTAAAAAAAAAAAAAAAAAAAAAAAAAAAAATAATATTAGGAAAGGGTTCCAGTGTACTAGTTCTGTCACGTGCTCCCAAAGCAGGATTCTCGAAACGTATCGAGTCCACATGTGGATTGTTATCAGAACCTTTGCATGTTGTGAACCCTTGTGTGGAGAGTAATTTTTACTATATTTAATAGATTTTTAATGGTACAAAATAAAGTTGTTTTATGCTACTCAATGTCTCTTCTATATGTCTACAAAAAGTCAACGACTACATATTTGGTTCATAGTTATACATGATTTGCTGGGATGTGGACATATAGCACACAGAGTCTGGGTTTCTCTCCTGCTATAGATACTTTTCATGACCATCTAATTTTCCAGACTAGTCTTGCTAAGTCTGTTGCATAGGTGTAGACAACGGGCCAATAGTAACCTTTTTAGAATGACACTGCCAGTGAAGAAGGAACCACTAAGAAGACTAACAAACATATTCACATACCGACTAAATTTCGAGGAACTTGAATGACATCTTCTGCGAATTCAAGGTAGGTCCTGGCCTTCTTTACAGCATCTTGGTCCTAAAACAATAATTACAAAAAGCTGACTAAAAAAAATTTCTGATAGAATACTTATACCCTTTTATATGGTCTAATGCAGGGGTGGCTAACCTGTGGCTCTCCAGCTGTTGTGGAACTACATTTCCCATGAGGCATTGCAAAGATGGGAAGTTACTGACTTGCAGAGGCATGATGGACCTTGTAGTCCTGCAGCAGCTGGAGAGCCGCAGGTTGGCCACCCCTGGTCTAATGGTTCACCAAATAGTTATTGGAAAGCAAAAGCATACCTCTCCATAAATATGAAATGTGCATGTATCTTCATCCAAATCGATGGCAGTCACCCCAGGAACCTTTCTAGCCTGTTGAATATTTGCACCATGAGTGCCAATAGCAAGGCCCATTAGGTCTTCTCGTACAACAAACTGCTCATGAAACCTGGATGCTAGCTGCCTTGAACTCTGCAAAAACAAAAGGAAAAAAATCTTATGATAATATAATACACGCAGTGTTCAAGACATGAGGTTATTAGGAGAAAAAGCCACCAGTTTCATCTAAAAACTAACCTTTGCATTAGTACCCTCCACTTGGCAAAATGTTGCATAACCACTTCAGGACCGGCATTGTTACATCCCCTTCCTGTTCAGGCCACTTTTGAGTTTTCAGTGCTGTGATAGTTTGACAATTACTCAGTCATGCAACATTGTACCTAAAATATTTTAATTCATTTTTGGTAGTATTTAATAACCACTGGGATTTCTATTAATCTGATAATTTTGAAAAACAACCGATTTCTCTTACTACCTATTGAACGTATCAGATAAAAATGCCAGAAGAGTATAAAAACCAATTTTTGGGAAATGACCATACGTGCTGGTACTGATCAAAAAAATAATCTAAGATGTGACTTAGTCACCCACTGAAACAAAGTGCAAGTTGTCCATTATTAGTAGAAAGCTGAAAGGTTGAAATTGTAATAAAGGCAATGGCTAGATGTCATGGATAAACCCAAAATACTTAACCCCCTCAAAAAAAATCCCACAAATTTCTTTATATTCCTGTTCTTCAGAGGCACTTTTAAACACCCCCCAAAACAATCCCACCACGACCATTGGTGATCAGTGGTATTGGAAAAAACCCACCATCATTAGCTGTCAAAAGCACTTTAAACTCCTTCCCCCCCCAACAATAAATCCCACAACATTGGGGTTAAAATCTTTAAATTACCCAAGACAATCCCAAAATCACTGTTGACAAATGGCACTTTTAAACCCACCACCCCCTCCATTTATGGTTGTTGGCAATTTAAATCCCATTCAAAACAATCCCACAACAGTAGTGGTCGGTGGCTCTTTAAAACCCCTCTCACCTTTGACTGCAGATTTCCTCCAGTGCTCCTCTGCAGCCGGAGGATATAATAATTGTAGTCATTCATTAAATCCTCCCTTCCCCTTCCTCTGTTGTGAGATGAAGGGGCAGGCTCAGCAGTGTAAACAGTACTCTACTGTTTACATTGGTGACTGGTCATCACAGCAATCACATGGCACAGAGACTCTTCAATTGGTGTGATGCTGCTAGCTGATGCCTTCTACTGACTAGAGACAGTGAGAGAAGCCATTTGTGCGTGCGCACAAACAAAAGGAAGTACTCCTTCCCGTCATGATAAGGGAGTTTCTACACGAGTAATTAAAATTAGGTGGTTAAAATACAACTAAAGGATCTGTATGAGAGTCTAATGCAGACGTCACATCTAAGAATTAGTAAGCTGCAATATAATAAAGGTTTGCTCTTGGGTTTGATACAGCTTTAAATGATCCTGTGCCGTTTATTTTATACTAATCCATCAGTCAATCTGAAAATAGCACGGCACCTACATATGCAAAAATAATTTAGAAATAAGGCTAATTCACATGGGCGCTGAGGCCCACACAGCACAAATAAGCCATTTATTTATTAATGTAGCTAGAGCTGCCTGGAGCAGTCAAATTAGGACATGCAGCTGTGTCCCCATTCAGTAACAGGCTGCCTGCATGCAGTACAGACCTCAGCACTTAAAGAATGACCCCAAAGGGTACATGGTGCTCTGTTTTTTTTTTTTTTTTCTCTTAGAGAATATCAAAGCAACGTAATACAGTTGTCTATGTAAAACAACTCTTAAAATCACACAGGGGGAGATTTTCTAAAACTGCTCCACTCAGAATCTGGTGCAACTGTCCATGGTAGCCAATGAGCTTCTAACTTCAGTTTGTTCAATTAAGCTTTGGCAATAAAACCTGAAAGCTGATTGGTTACGAAGCAGAGTTGCACCATATTTTGCACTCTACAGTTTTAGTAAATAACCCCCATAGTCTTCACTGGGAGAAGCTGAGGACTTAAAGTGTTATTAAACCCACAACAGTAAAATCAGTCTATATATGCAGTAAAAGCATGCTTGTAATACTCACTGTGAAACCTAAGCAGTTAATCCTCTGCATTGTGTAAAAAGGCTGTTTGATCCTGTCTTCTCTGATCCTCCCCTACTTTTTCTGTCCCCAATCCATCTGCCATAGTACAGAGCAGCAGTGGCAAGTATGCACATGCTCTGTTTGGTGTGTATTGCTAGAGATTTTTTTTGGTGGGAGGGTGCATGTGATCAGCACAGGGATAATCAGTGCTGTCCGGACAGAGGATCAGAGATCATGCAGCCTCATAGGACAGTCAGAGGAGAATGAAAACTTCAACAAGATTAACCAGTGCTCAGCTGGACACTGAAAAAAGTCACAAGACTGCTCTAACTGCTGATGAGAAAAGGTATTTAGCAGTTTATATTTACTAAAATAATTGCATTTCCATGTTCTGTGTACTGTGGAAGACCATACATAGTGAATGCAGGGTCATGGGTTTAGTAACAATTTAAAAATGGAACTAAAAAGGCAAAACATTCCCCCCCCCCCCCCCCCCCCCCCCCAGAAAATATAAGGGGAGGGGGGGTTATAAACATCCGTCAGTGGTTTTTCCCATTTTGTCATCTATGTCCCCATGAGTGACTATCCCTTCACTTCTTGTCCCATAAGCAAAACAAGATGTGAGAGGAAATCCCACTACAGTGAGCGAATCCCTGGCTTTCCTCAGGGTCACCAGAACTAGTGTTCTATAAAATTCTCCCTTTAATCCTGTTCTGGTAAAAATCCAAAATTTGGGAATTTTTTTTAACCTTCACTTTCAGTGATAACGGTACACAGGGAAAAAAAAAAAAAAAGTGAATCTTCCTAAGACAGGCAGCAATAAAAAGCTGAGAGATGTTCTAATCCCTATCCATTTTATAAAAAAAAGTTGCATTTCATTAGACATTTATATAGTTATCATAAAGCTATAAACAAATGAACACCTTTACAGTTTTCTTATGATTTTGTGAATAGGAAAAACAAAAAAACAATCCACATACTTCAAGTTGCTTGCTTGCTTCTTCATTACGCAGCATCAGAGACAGTTTAGTCCGGAGACTCCGGAAATGCATGTCACTCAACATGTTTGCCCTTTTTATTGTAACTTCATTAACAGACTGCAACAAGCAACAGGAGAAGATAGAGGGTTTATCAGTAAATGAAGGAATATGGACAGCTCATTTAAAATATCCTACATGAACAGTCGTGATTTACTTTTAAACGTTGCGTAAAATATGCTGTAAGTAATGTGTCATCCACCGCAGGCTCTGGTTCCTCTTGCCAACCACGTCATTACTGTATTCTGTAGTGACATAGGCTCTGGCAAAAGGAACCAAAGCGTGCATCAGTACAAACACTAACTGACACACTCCAAAGTGTTGGATAGTACGGAAATCAGTATCTCTAAGAGCTCTTTCACACCATACAGGTGAAACTCAAAAAATTAGAATATCGTGCAAAAGTTCATTGTTTTCAGTAATGCAACTTAAAAGGTGAAACTTATATATGAGATAGACTCATTACATGCAAAGCAAGATAGTTCAAGCCGTGATTTGTCATAATTGTGATGATTATGGATTACAGCTCATGAAAACCCCAAATCCACAATCTCAGAAAATTAGAATATTGTGAAAAGGTGCAATATTCTAGGCTCAAAGTGTCCCACTCTAATCAGCTAATTAAGCCATAACACCTGCAAAGGGTTCCTGAGCCTTTAAATGGTCTCTCAGTCTGGTTCAGTAGGAATCACAATCATGGGAAAGACTGCTGACCTGACAGTTGTGCAGAAAACCATCATTGACACCCTCCATTAGGAGGGAAAGCCTCAAAAGGTAATTGCAAAAGAAGTTGGATGTTCCCAAAGTGCTGTATCAAAGCACATTAATAGAAAGTTATGTGGAAGGGAAACGTGTGGAAGAAAAGGGTGCACAAGCAGTAGGGATGACCGCAGCCTGGAGAGGATCGTCAGGAAAAAGGCCATTCAAAAGTGTTGGGGACTTTCACAAGGAGTGGACTGAGGCTGGAGTCAGTGCATCAAGAGCCACCACACACAGACGGATCCTGGACATGGGCTTCAAATGTCGTATTCCTCTTGTCAAGCCGCTCCTGAACAGCAAACAACGTCAGAAGCGTCTTACCTGGCTAAAGAAATACAGACCTGGTCTGTTGCTCAGTGGTCCAAAGTCCTCTTTTCTGATGAGAGCAACTTTTGCATCTCATTTGGAAACCAAGGACCCAGAGTATGGAGGAAGAATGGAGAGGCACACACTGCAAGATGCTTGAAGTCCAGTGTGAAGTTTCCACAGTCCGTGTTGATTTGGGGAGCCATGTCATCTGCTGGTGTTGGTCCACTGTGCTTCATTAAGTCCAGGGTCAACGCAGCCATCTACCAGGAGATTTATGAGCACTTCATGCTTTCTTCCACAAACAAGCTTTATGGGGATGCTGACTTCATTTTCCAGCAGGACATGGCACCTGCCCACACTGCCAAAAGCACCAAAACCTGGTTCAATGACCGGGGGATTACTGTGCTTGATTGGCCAGCAAACTCGCCTGACCTGAACCCCATAATCTATAGGGCATTGCCAAAAGAAAGATGAGAGACATGAGACCGAACAATGCAGAAGAGCTGAAGGCCGCTATTGAAGCATCCTGGTCTTCCATAACACCTCAGCAGTGCCACAGACTGAAAGATAACATGCCACGTCGCATTGAGGCAGTAATTGCTGCAAAAGGGGCCCAAACCAAGTACTGAGTATATATGCATGCTTATACTTTTCAGAGGTCCGATATTGTTCTATGTACAATCCTTGTTTTATTGATTGCATGTAATATTCTAATTTTCTGAGATTGTGGATTTGGGGTTTTCATGAGCTGCAAGCCATAATCATCACAATTATGACAAATCAAGACTTGAACTATCTAGCTTTGCATGTAATATATTAGTTTCACCTTTTAAGTTGCATTACTGAAATAATGAACTTTTGCATGAAATTCTAATTTTTCGAGTTTCACCTGTACATGCAGAAAAACTGATGGAAACGGACTCACAGATTTCACTTGCAGAGACATCAGTTTACATCTGTTTTCATGCCTGCTCCAATTAGTTTTGTTGCAGATTTCTGCGCAGAAAAAAAATCTGCACGTGATAATAGTGTTGTGGCATGAACAGGGCACATAGAGAACAATTGATTTCATTGTGCCCTTGCAAAACATGTAGAAAAACTGATCTCTGCAGAATGGTGTGAATGGGCCCAAAAAGAAAAACAAAAGATTGAATATTAATCTTTCAGGCTACAATGTTTTGGTTTATTCACCAAGGTGAGAAGGCCACTTTAAGGAAATCATTGCCTTAAAGGGAGATAACATTTCCACCATCTTTACTCCATTACTCTAAATGGCACCACAAGGGAATCCACTCTGTGTCAAGGTAGTAGAATCCTTGTTACTAGGATGCAAAAACTGTTGGTTTTCACCCTTGCAATGCTGGTAGTGAGCATCCAATGGTTTACACGCCCTAGCAACAAGTCAGAACACAGGGGATGCTAACAAGGATTTTTTAACCAGGCGCCTGAGGGGACCCAAAGCCTACAGGTAAAACAAAAATTAATAATTTTACAAAGCTGCACAGATTTTTGTCATCTTTTGGGGCCTTTTGACTGCATAGGCTATTTTCCACAAAAGGTGAATTTAGCAGTTTCTACTTTATTTTGGCAGACTCTTTTAACCTAAACCTTTGAGAACAAAATCAACAATAGCTGCTCTCATACTTCCATCCTTAAATGTGTGGGCCCTGGGGCTGTTATTCTGCTCCTGGCTTCACTACCTAATGAATAACTGATACAATAGAAGTTGAACTATACCCTCCTAACCTTTACAAACAAGGAAGTTGCCATCTTAGCCTCTGATCTGTAGTTGCCCTGAAACTGCACGTGATCAGTTATCACACCAGCCATTTGCTACCTTGCGTGCTGGTTCACATATATGTGGATTGGATGCAGTTTGAACCGCATCCAATCCGCATGACATGTGAAATAACACTGTTTCCTATGGTGCCTGTTCACATATGTCCAGTGCACTGGCAGTGCCGATTCAGTGTGGATTGAAAGAGAGTCCTGTCCAATTTCTGAGCAGTGCGGTCCGGTTCAAGTGCGGATTACAGGCTATTGACTTCTATAGGAACCATTTCTAAACCGCACGTCATCAGTTGTTAACAGGATAAAATCTTGTCCTGAACCTGATCTAAACCTGAGCTGAACCGCTGACCAACTACTGTATCAATTAGCGGTGAAACCGGAGTTTCAATCCGCACTACACATGTGTGAATCGGCATTAACAGTTTGGTTGAAAACTCAAGGACTTGTGGCAGTTTTTCATTCACAGAATGCATTGAATGTGCTGGTTTTGGATTTAATTCAGTTCTAAAGCTTTAGTTAAAATGTCGTGAATAATGGAGCACATCATAGGACACAGGGTACCTTTATTACAATATGGTTATGCTGCCACTGGCATTAAAAAAGGCAGGAAGTTCACTCCTAGGCATACCCCACCCACTTACCCTCATTACGCATGGCTTCAGGTTTTGTAGAAAATAGGAAAAAAAAACCTTCTAAGCTAGGACTAAAAAAATAAATAAATAAAAAATATCTTGTACAGGATCAAACAATACACTTGAACCCTTCTTCAAAAGATATGCACCAAGGAACACAAAGCGATAGGTCCCTGAAATCTGACCCTTGATTCTACTCAAAGCCAGTCCCCGATTGTTTCCAGATTGGAAAAAACGCCAGGCTGTGGCCCACAACATACTTATGAGGATGAAGTCCCTGAACCTCACAGTAAGGTCCAAGGGTCATCTGCCAAAATGTTCACAATTGTGAAGTACAAAGTTCAGATCAGAAACAGCAGAATTTCTTTCATTCAAATCCTTGGAAGCAGACAAGGTAGAAGCTGTATCGGTGGAAAGGCATAGATGGGGAGAACTGGTGCCATGGTGACACTAGAACATCCACTGCACACACTTGATGACCCCTGGGCAAATCTGTCCAGCTTCATATTGAACTTGGGCACCAGAAGTTCAATATCCAGGATCCCCCACTGTTAACAGAGCAACTCCAACACCTCTGGGTGAAAAGCCCAGTCCCCCCAGAGACAGTTGTCCACAGCTGAGGAAATTCTCCTCTGCCAACTGAAATGCGAACAGCAAGGGAACACGGAGTTCAGACACATAATGAGATCCACTTCTCTTGGGCTGCATTGACTTCTGATGCCTCCTTGATGATTTATGCAAACCACCACCGTGGCACTATCCAAATGAATCTTCACAGGAAGGCCCTTCAACTGCACTGACCAATGTAGTAGAGCAAGAATTATCACCCTCATATCCAGGATGTTGATGAGCAAGGATCTCTCCTGTAGTGACCATGTTCCTTGAACTAAGATTGTCCAGCCTGTTCAGAACTCCATCCCTGTCCACCAGGCTGGCATCCATCATCCGCAACCTCCAAGATAGAGGGAGAAATTATTTTTCCCTCTATTGTACCCATGAGGAGATCCACCAGTCCAAGGACAGTCCTGTGCTGGAGAGCAAGGACATTGAGGAATCCAACGACTGCATCCTCCTGTTCCAAGACATTCTGTTAGAGGGGCCTGGAATGAAAATGGCCAAAGGGCATTGCCTCAAAAGGAGGTTACCATCTATCCCAAAATTTCATGCAAAGGCGAATCAAGGACTTTGTCAACATCTTCAGTTCGTAGAGCAAGACATTTGTCTGGATGGAGGATCCCTCTTGCCTGGAGGGTATCCAAGGTAAGCCCCAGATACTCTAACCTCTGAGTTGGGATCAAGGCAGACTTCTGTAAATTCAGAACCCATCCAAACCTCTCCAGAGTGCACATTGTGTGAGACACATTGGTCTCCAAAAGCGAAGCGGATTACTGCGTTTATATGTAAGTGGCCCAGGCACTCTATAACAGAGATACCATAACGAGTAAAAGCCAAAGAACCAGAGCCAAGACCTTGGTGAACACTCCTGGACCTGTGGACAACCCAAACAACAGTGCCACAAACTGGAATTTGTGGTCTTTCACTGTAAAACACTGAAACCTTTGGCAAAGTGGAAGGTTGGAATGTGTAGGTAAGCATCTTTGATATCCACTGATGCCAGAAAATCTCCCTGCTGGAGAGAGGCCACCACTGACTACACAGATTATATGTAGAATGTCTGCACCTGTAGAAACTTGTTGCGTTTCTTCAGGTCTAACATGGAACAATCACCGTTCAGTTATAGAACCATGAAGTTGAGTATAAACCACAAAACTGTTCATCCTCTGGAACCAGAATGACCACTCCTTGAATATGAATGAGAGTTTGCAAGAGCACAAATCTTTTGTGTGGATTCAAAGAAACATGAAGCACAAAAGGGGAAAGGCTCTGAAACTCTAGCTTGTAGCCATGAGCCACAATGTCGCAGACCCACCCTGTTCTGTAATCTTCCTGTCAAACCTCCAATAGTGCCCCTCCACCCAATCAAGCGGGGGCACCCTTTAATTGTGAAGAGGACTTGCCCTCTGAACTTAGAGGGCTTTACAGTCCATGGCTTCTTTTGGATCTGGGACTGAGGTTTGGGCTTAGAACCTGAAGCCTAAGAATGCTTCTTGAAAGTAGAAGGAGCTGCATGCTTTTGAACTGTAGACTTTGCCTTTTTTTCAAGCAGTAACAGAATATCTTACCCACAGTCACCTTCTGGATATAATCATCCAAAAGAAGTACCAAACAAAAATTCCCCCCAGAAAGGTAAACATTTCACTTGCAGGGTAATTCTGCTGACAAACACTTCAGCCACAAGATCCTGCACATGTGTATGGACAAGACCCTGTTGCTGTATGGTGTCCAGTGAAAGGCGAAGATTAGATGGGAAATCTTCTAGGTTGCTGCACGCTTGAATAACACCATTAGTAGGATCCTTGTCTCGTCATGCACCAAACTCAGACCTTAAGTCTCTGGCACATGCCTACTACCACAGCCCTAGAACCAATTTAAAACAATAAGTTCCAGATTGTCCCCTCAAAAAATAAATATGCTATTTCCAGGCTCTCTCTACCTTTTGAGAGTCAAATACATTTACATTCCAACTCAGAGACCCAGTCAGTGAAGAAAACATCCTTAAGAATGAGACTATAGAGGAAAGGATTGAGGATGTTGAGGCTATGATCCAAAAACCTGTTACCTTTGAGTTGAGGACTTGGGAAGCAGCCACTTCAAATAAGTCCAAACTACCACAACGAGAAAACGCAGGCCTTGGGGTCTGGGTACCATATCTCTCAGCATAGAAAAAGGATCCGGAAAGAGATCCTCCTAATCCCAAATGGAGTCATTGAGAAGCTAGCTACATTTTCTTACATAAATAGCACAAACATGGCCACCACCTAAGACATTAGCAAAAAAACTGAAGCCTTGTCTTACCGGAAGCAAATATGCCTAAATGGGGACTTCCAGTCTTTTTTTTGTTTTGCCAGTATCCAATCACCTAAAGGTGGTAGCATAACCTTACACTGAAGATGATGTATCCTAGCATGTACGAAGAAGAATTGTGCGCAAAAAGTATTTTGCAAACAAACTTATAATACAGACTACAACAGGTCACAAGGTAATACAATTGGTATTTTAGTACTAAACCACTAATACACAGACTAGGCTTGTTCTCTAGCTTATTGGTTAACTTGTAGAATTATTAAGGGCCAGTTCTCACAGCAGCGGACAGCTGCAGTGCACTAAACCGCAGTTATTTAGTGTGCGGCAGCTGTCCATTCGAGCTGCAGTGAGTGGGCACAGTATGATGGGCATTGCAGAGCTTCACAAAGCTTCCCTTTTGGTATGAACTTTATACGAAGTGCACAAGCGTGACTCATTGTGTTACCCTGCTGTACAGTGACATGCGATCCTGTCCAGTGAGCTGATAAAATGCAGCATGTCTGTATTTTATCGCAGCTCACTGCGCCGCACCTCCGGCATGTCCTAGAATCTGTGTGTCCTAGCAGTAACTTGCATTCTTCCGCTGTAAAAGAATTGTATAACTTCCGTGGTTAAATGCAGGTCACCACACTATATGTATGTTAACAAGGCTTTAGTTAAACTTCAGGCATTAAACCCCAGAAACAATTTAAAAGGATACATTTTTAAGATTGCCCCCTCAAAAATAAGTTTGATTTCTCCAGCTCCCCTCTTTTCTTTGAGAGCTGCATTCCAAAGCATTTACATTCCAAAGCAGAAGCTACTGTAAGTTGCCCAGTAAATAAGCAATTGGGTTTGCACTGAGACATCCTCTTCAATTTGGAGCATGTGTACTAAAGCCCCTGAATACTTTAACTGACCCTTGCCTCTCCCGTCCCTTTTAGGGAGACAAAAATCAAGTACAGCCTATGGAGCTCCAGAGTTCATGGTCCAAGTTCAAGTACATATCAAGTGCTTTCATTCCTACTGAAACTCAACTGCTGACTGGCTAGGCAACAGACACTAGATTAGAAGGCAAGTATTTTTAACTCTGGAAGGACCGAAAGTGTCTGGAGGGAGCATAGTTATATCTGGGGTAACTTAAGACTTTTTAAAATTAGTTTTGACATTTTCATGCAGTTATAACGTTGATTACCAATTTTGACTCATTGTATGGGTTACTAAACGATTGCTCTTACTATAATCTATTATCATTTTAAGTGATTAACTATATTCAATAAATGAAGAAAAGCTTACAAGGATGATTAGCTGGCAGTTTTCAGAATCATATGTTACTGAAAATGCTCCAACGGCTTTTTTGAAGTCTTTATGAGCAGATTCTTTTGCGCACCTGAAATTAAACAGGTACAAAAATAAAGTTTCAGAAATTCTAATCAAATATAAATTAAAAACAAAAATAATTCTCAAAATATCTTATAAGACATAAAGTACAAAAATGCACATACACACACACTTGTTATTTGATAAATATATATTTTATTGTTGCCTAAGAAAATACAAACAAAATTTAATATTTTTTTTAGTTAGGCTGCTTTCACACTGCTGTTGTGTGGTTTACCGACACCGCACGTGCAGTGCAGCTTACACCTGTGTGTTTGGAGAGGGTTAGTTGCGCTTTCCCATAGAGTTTTATTGTGCCCCACGTGTTTGGTATGCTTTCTGAAAGCCCACCAAAACTTTGGCATGTTGCATCTGTGGTGAGCTTTTAGAAAGCACACCAAACGCACAGGACACAATATAACTCTATGGGAAAGCTCAGCTAACCCACTCCAAACACGTGGGAGACACACACCACGTCAGTGTGAAAGTATGCTTAATAAAAGAGAGCCATTTGGTATTATTAAGGGTACATTTAAAAAAGTACGCCCTTATACTGATGGTCATGGTGTCTTGTTATACTGGTGGTTAGAAGGAATACTGTCCTCTTACAGATAGCTAGAGAGATCATTGGTTTAATTCCTCAGACCTCAGAGATAAGTCTCCTATGGTCCTGCACTGCTGAATTTGCTGACCGACATCATCTGAGGTGTGAGAATAATTGTAGGTATCATAGGGCAGCAGATCAAACCACCTTCACATTATCAGATGTCATGAAAACAGTGTGAAGGTGCTGAAGACACAATAGTATACGGTGTTATTGACAACATGATGGTAGACAGCAATTTTGATGCTAAACTACCAATTGAACATGTGCATGCCACAGACTTCTGTGTGGTCAACAAAAAAAAAACAGGAAGGAAGAGGGAGCAAAGCAAACATCCACTCACCCTCACTACTTAAGTTCTACTTTTAAAATAATCATAGGCTATGTGATGGTACAAGTGACCTCTTACAGGCTAGGTAGCAACCCTTAGCAAAAAGACCTATATTCTTCAGCAGCTGTTATTAAGAAACCACAATGCCAACCAGCAGCTACATATTTGGGTTTCGGGAACATGAAGTCTGGTCTGAAAGACAGCATCCATGAAGTCTCCCCAGGTAAGGAGAAAAGGTTTTTAAACAACCATAAACCCTTGTAGAGGGTAATTAAGATAAGTTGTCCATTGAAAATGCAGAATTTTAATAATGAGATTAAAAGAAGGGAAGGTGAAACAAAATTTAAATAGGTTAAAATGGCACAGTGAACCAGACACAGGTTCAGATCACCTGTAGGAATGAGAGCCTATGAATAAACTCCTGGGATGGAAGCCCTGAGACTTGCATCAAGTAAAGTAATACTTCCATGTCTGATGACAGAGCCTGCAAGAAATAGACTTCCTAGCTTTGCAGCATTGTAGAAATTAGCAACTATGAAGCAGATTAGCAAAAACGGTCCTTGGGACAAAAGATCTTGAAGATTCAGTAGAGCACAAGGAGTCTTACCAAGTGGAGCATCACATCCACCTGGGCTAATCCAGAGCTACAACAATCTCAAGGATACCATCCATCTCAACACTACAAAACAGATAAGGAAAGAGCTTCAAGGGTGGAAATGCATAGATCAGGGTGTACTGATCCCACAGAACAATTAGAACATTCACTTCTGCTAGAGGATCAAATGAGAGGCTGAATGGTAGGGCAACAAACTGGCAGAGCATGGGCCCAACAGCAAAGCCTAGAAATCTCTGAAGTGCTAAAAACATGGAGCCATGTAATTAAGAATCTTTGATGTCTCCTTGGTGAAAGTGAAAGGAAACAATGACTGATTTTGTAGATTCCATGCAGAATTTCTGAGCTCAAAACTAAGAGATTTAGAGCTTTGTGATCCAGAATGAATCAAATGCTCACTTTGGGCTTTTCCCCTTTTCAAAGGGAGTTTGGAGATGAGAAACCATTGCAGGGTCAGCAAGCAAAACTCCAGTTTATAGCTCTGGGATACCACCACCTTTTCACAAGCATCTAAGATGCAAGCTGTACAAGCATCCATGGAATTTCTCCATGAAATGTCAGCTGTTGGAGAAAACTAGATTAGTGACACATGCAGATTGCAGAAGAGAAAGAGAGCAGCCAGGATCCTCACTAGGTCCTAAAGATTGAGACAGGTACATAAATGAGGATGTGCTTTGTTTACTTGAATTTCAAGAAGTCCAACTGGGGGAGAAGGCGGCAACACAGTAAACCTGCATGGTTTACAACCACGTTAGGGGATTTAGGTCAGATATAGTTTGAGGGTCACAGTCAGGATCAGTGGAAAAGCAGGGCCTATAGGGGGCTTTCTACCGCTAGCTATTAAGTGACTGGGGAAGGGGGGGCAATCAGCTCGTCAGGATGTTTCCAACTTGCACAAAGAAAGAGTTTAAAAAGCAAGTGTAAAGAGACAGTCTTTGCAGCCTTAGGAGTTTTTTAACGACCCAAGGCTGGAGACAGAACTAGTAGAACCAACAAGCTGATATTCTAGTTTGATAGTCAACCACACTGCATCAATAAGAGCCAAAACATTCTCTTTTAATTTTGGGGGGAAATAACAGTAGACTATGACTCATTAGGGGCAAGGACAGGAGCGATTCAGAATCAGACAGTCTCTGAGGTGATAGATTAGGCGCTGTTAAGACTACAGGAAAATTAGATATTGGAACTTCAGGAAAGGGCGCAAGACTGAGCTTGTAGCCTTTGCAATCAGTTAGCACATAACCAGGTAATTTGGGTCATGAAATGTTGCATAACTGTGGTAAAAACCTCAGCCATGCCCAAAGTATTCAAGAAGAATTCTAAGGGCAAAACAGACTAAGATCAGAGGATAACATAATTCCACGTTGCAGATGTTGGCATAGTCAAAGGACAAGCTATAAGCAGTCAAACAACTCCCCTGTATCTAAAACAAGACATATTACAACTATGTGGCAACAAGGCAATGTACAGTCAGAGGGAAAGAGGCAAGGCCTCAGGCAATCAAAGCCAGACAGCTAGTAGCAGGTAATAGGCGGATGGCCTGGAGCTGTCCACAGTCACTGTTGACAGGCAGCAGAAACAGAAAGAAGGAAAACATTCTAGGTGACGACTCTTTTCAAGCAGGAGCTGCAGCGGGGGGCTGACTTGTCACTGTATGGTGTGAAAGAGTGGGCAATATTCCACTTAGCAGAGGTCTTCAACACTCAACTCCACAACATAAACCTCTTACATGGCAAAACCAGCAAGAGCATTAAAAAGCTAAAAAAAAAATAAAAAATACACAGGTAATGGGGGTAACCCGCCTCCCCCCCCCCCGATTAACCCAACCTAGTCTACTCACTAAGTAAGACCTTCGAGAAAGGGCAAGCACTGAGGCAATGCTAATGGCTCTGGACCTGGAAAGCACTCTATAAATGACTTATCAGAATGGGGTTTAGAAAACACCCTATATGGTAACCCAATGTCCTTATGCACTTCCAGGCTATCCCCACCAGGTTAAGGATGACTGCACCAGAAAGCTGCAAATCATAGAGACAAAGCCCAAACAGTCATGAAAAGAAGAGTCTTGAATGAAGAATCATACAAGAAAAAAAAAAAAGCACCAGCACAAGAAAAATGGAAACAAGAATCCGGAAGGAGGTTTCACAAGCTGACTCTTCAGTGTGCATAAATGTGAATAAGCTTGTAACTCAGAAAACCAGTAATTCAGGTTTCTAAAGACAAGATAACAGGATCCCTTTTCCTCTTGAGCAGATCTCTCAATCTTTCTAGTCTTGAATATCCAAAGTGTCAAAGTCCAGATTTCCTCTTACAGTTTTATTGTAGCCTCGATTGAGACTGTTCCTCAGGGAAGCGAAGAGACAGAGCAAAACATAGACACTGTGTGCTATCACATGGCAACATCTAGAATATCAATATATGGATAGTTTTGTTAGACGAGCAACCTTTGTATTTACAGTTTTCTGTAGATAAAAGTCGCCCTTTAAACAATCTCTTTTAAAAGAAATGTCTAAAGTGGAACTAAGGGCTTTCTTTTTCAATTTGCATAGAGCAAGGGAGGGTTAGAACCCCTGTCAGATTTGTCCCATTGCTAAGATTTTCCTTCACTTCCTGTCCCATAGGCAAACAAGAAGTGAAAGAAACTCCCTGCAAATCAGAAGTAGTGTCACCATTTGAAGATTTACCCCGTTTTTTTTTTTTACTTTTCTGGTGACAACACAATATTTGGGATTTTCTTTTACTTTCATTGATAATAATAAACAAGACAAATAGAGAAGATGAATCTCTGTTGGGGGCACAGAGAGCAAATTAAAAAAAAAAAAAAAAAAAAAGAAAAAAAAAAAATTGACAGGGGTTCTAATTCCTCTCTACCCTTTCCAAAACTAAAAAAAAAAAAAAATGTTGCCTTTAGTTACACTTTAAAGCGGAGCTCCACCCAAAAGGGGAAGTTCCACTTTAAGGATTGCTCCCCCGCTCCCCATTAAGGATTGGCACCTTTGGGGAGCAGGTACCTGAATTTGACAGGTACCCGCTCCCACTTCCGGTAGCGGGAAGGTGTCCTCCCTCAATGTATTAGCAGATTTAAATACACTAACAAATTGAAGCCAAACTCCAGCTCACATTTTATAATCAGTTACAGCAAACGTTTTTGTCTCTACTTTTTGGGATAAAGGTTTTAAATGAATAAATAAACGCTGAATATTTTAATCACCCCCTATCATTGTGAAATGGTTTGGCTCATCAGTGTAAACTGATACAATCTGCTGGAGAGCTTATGCTTTTGAAAAACAACAGACTTGCTGGCTGGATCACCAGATGGAAGTAGAAGAAAGCAAGCCTAAAAAAGAAAATGAATAAAGCCATCACATCTAGTAATTGGTAACAAATAAGATATATGTGCAGCACCAAAACACAAAACATGAATTAAAAAAAAAACATTTACCGTATTTTTTGCTTCATAAGACGCACTTTTTTCCCCCCAAAAATGGGGGGAAAATGTCTGTGCGTCTTATAGAGCGAATATGGAGCAGCCCAGCCTGGTATTCCCCCCGTCGCCATGTTAGAATACCGTGTCGGCTGCTCAGCTCTATTGTGCAGAAGAACCTGCTCCTTGGTCCAGCGGTGTCCTGCTTTCACTGGCCGTCTTCTCTCCCCGGCGTCGGTATCTACAGTGTGGGCACCAGGCTGTGACAGCTTGCAGCTTAACAGCCGGGTGCCCACTGCACATGTGTGAGAAGTGCTGCGCTTTGTGAATGGCCCCATAGTCTTCTGGGACCTGTCACGTGTCCCACAAGACTACGGGGAGGGGGGGGGGGGTAGGACAATTCTGCGGAAGTGGGTACTGCTTCCCAAATGTCGGCAGTCTCTGGTCATCTCCTGTAACGCGTCGGCAGTCTCCGGTCATCTCCTGTAGCGCGTCCGCAGTCTCCGGTCATCTCCTGTAGCGCGTCCGCAGTCTCCGGTCATCTCCTGTACTGTGTCCGCAGTCTCCGGTCATCTCCTGTACTGTGTCCGCAGTCTCTGGTCATCTCCTGTACTGTGTCCGCAGTCTCTGGTCATCTCCTGTAACGCGTCGGCAGTCTCTGGTCATCTCCTGTAACGCGTCGGCAGTCTCTGGTCATCTCCTGTAACGCGTCGGCAGTCCCTGGTCATCTCCTGTAACGCGTCGGCAGTCTCTGATCATCTCCTGTAGCGCGCGTCGGCAGTCTCTGATCATCTCCTGTAGCGCGTTGGCAGTCTCTGATCATCTCCTGTAGCGCGTCAGCAGTCTCTGATCATCTCCTGTAGCGCGTCGGCAGTCTCTGATCATCTCCTGTAGCGCGTCGGCAGTCTCTGATCATCTCCTGTAGCGCGTTGGCAGTCTCTGATCATCTCCTGTACTGTGTCCACAGTCTCTGGTCATCTCCTGTAGTGTTTCCACAGTCTCTGGTCATCTTCTGTACTGTGTCCACAGTCTCTGGTCATCTTCTGTACTGTGTCCACAGTCTCTGGTCATCTTCTGTACTGTGTCCACAGTCTCTGGTCATCTCCTGTACTGTGTCGGCAGTCTCTGGTCATCTCTTGTACTATGTCTGCAGTCTCTGGTCATCATCTCCTGTACTATGTCCGCAGTCTCTGGTCATCATCTCCTGTACTATGTCCGCAGTCTCTGGTCATCATCTCCTGTACTGTGTCGCAGTCCCTGGTCATCTCCTGTACTGTGTCCGCAGTCTCTGGTCATCTCTTGTACTATGTATGCAGTCTCTGGTCATCTCCTCTAATATGTCCACAGTCTCTTGTCATCTCCTGTACTCTGGTCATCTGCAGTCCATTGGTTCAGAATATTTTTTTTCTTGTTCTCCTCCTCTAAAATCTAGGTGCGTCTTATGGTCAGATGCGTCTTATGGAGCGAAACATACAGCAATTTGTTTTTTTCCAAAAATAATGGTGTCTATCGCCTCAACCACTTGACTGGAAAATGAGTACAAGGAGCAGATTTCAAAGAATTCACCAGCCTAGGAGAATACACATTGGCACCTACTGAATTTAAACTCAGAGTAAGCTGTAACTTGTGCTGGAGGAAAGAAGCAGAAATGCTACACAGTACACTTCAAATCTACCAAATGTACTTACATTTGCCGCAGATCTTCAGGTACATCCAACTTTACTTTGTGAAAAGTGTTTTTTGTTGCTGGCTTGTTAGGGTTTACAGACCTCAGTCGCTCTATTGTGACAATCTCATTGTACGTAGCGTCGCAAGCTGCATACTCTATTACATAAAACTGAGATGAAAAATAAACACACAATAACTTTACATTAACGTTATCAAGTAGGAATGTGGTTAAGAAACAAAAGAACAGCAAAAAAGTCTGACTATTTATACTTGTGCTTTTTTGGCCCAGTAAAATGCATGAGATGAAGATCTGTGCTTTATAGAATATCTACTGTATATTGAAAACAAAAAAATGTGATATATTGCAGCATACTAATCCTTAGATGTGGTAGCTACATTTCTTTTCCTTTCTTTTTTAGGATTTTATGTTTCTTTTATGTACTTTCCCCGGATCTTAGTGAATGTGGTCAAGCTTCACGTTGTAAAAGAATGCTCAAATCAGGTGCAAGGGTAAAAAAAAAAAAGGCATTACTGAATGGGGGAAAATCAGCAGAGCTTCACCACATTCACTAAGCTCTGGGGAAAATTAACTTGTAAAGTGCTGTCTATTTGCCTTAGACATGGTAATCTGAACCATCTTACTGCCACCTCTGCCTATTAAAGCAAGTTGAAAAATAACAGACTTACAGGCAAGATCAACTATGTCACTTGGGGGGACTCAGAAAAACAGACTTGTGTTAATGTCACTTTGTATATTGCCCACTGTTTCACTTTAGGGTTTGGTTACCTTTTGCAGCAACACCGAATTGCAGGAGAGTTGGAGAGCAGTCCCACTCAGTTGAATGGGTCGTGATCGGCAGCAGTTTAGCCTGCCAAATGCAGCATGCGGTATCATTTGTTTTGCAGGAGGTATACCACCCTGTCCAGCGGCTGTTGTAGATTCAGGTGGGCGGTTGGGAGGTGGTAAACCCTGCAGTTCAACCGCTTATATTTACCACCCTCATGGCCGCATGGGATAAGATCTGTACCAATATGGTCAATGATGTTGGAACTGCATGAAGACCACACAGATTTGAACAGAGCTCACAACTAATGGTACAGAGCTCTGCAGGCATTTTGCATGAAGTTTCACATGCATTTAACTGCACCAAAAATGCATAAGTGTGTCTGGGACATAAAAGGCAGCAAACCCATAATATCATTCTATAAGAAATATTAAATGATATCAAATGAAATAGAGACATATTCCTACCTCACCCTTTATCATTCTAACTTTAGCTAGCCACCAGCAGCATGGCTCTTTTTCATTTGCCCTGGAAATAAACCTAGAAAACAGAGTAAATGCATGGGAGGCTGTTACAAAATAACGAACGTAAAGCAACGTAATCATTAACTATTAAAAAAATATATGTGCATTTAAGCCAAAAGTCTTTTTGCAATCAAGCTAAAACAAAAGTAATTGTTTAAGATAATTGTAATTAAAAAAAAAAAGTTGTAACATCCTTTGTCTAAAAACCTGTTTTTTTATTGTGTGCAGGCAGTCCGTGTTTCTGTCTGTCAGCTTTGGTACTTGCTTCAGAGTGAAAAGTATGAGTCCTGCTTCTGTGCCTGTAGTAATTTACAAATGGTGGATGTAGTCCCAGACCTGTCTCCTGAATTATGCCTGAATGTTGTGTGCTACTTACACCCCACCACACAGTACTTTAAACACAAGTCTACATTGCTAAAATGTTTGAACTTTATTCTAAGAACTTCAAATGTAGATGAGCAGAGAGACTGCAGGAGTCACTCACAGCAGCTCTCTGCCTTCTCTCCTATTTCACCAGCCAGCACTGTGAAAATATAACAGACAATTACAAGAATTTAGACACAGAACAGTTTACAAGATTGTTTTCTCTTTATTTTCTGGTGATTTTAAGGCAAACATTTTGTTTTTAAGAACGATTTGTGCAGTTCAGTGTGTGTTATGTTTCCTGCCTGCAATCCTAAATAGTGAACTCCCTTTCCTTTTCCTAAAAATCAGTAAGTAACGGTTGACATATATAAAATAACCATTTAATAAAAAGTACCGTATTTGCCGGCGTATAAGACGACTTTTTACCCCTTGAAAATCTTCTCAAAAGTCGGGGGTCGTCTTATACGCCGGTATACGGCATACTGACACTTTTTAGGGGGGCGGCGCGTTGCCGCCGCCGCCGCCCCCCCCCCCCTTCCCCCAATGGAAGGGACACTAAAGTACAGGGTTGGGCAGCGGCTGTTTCTTACCTGGTTCCGGTCCCACGACGATCCGGTCCAGGAAGCGCGGCTGCGCCTTCAGTTCAGCCACTGGATGTTCGTGCGGCTGCTGGCTCGGCTCCGCCTCCTCACCAGTGATTGGCCGCCAGAACTGTAGCTCAGGAAAGGCACACAGGCGGCCAATCACCGGCGAGGGAGTGGAGCCGAGCGGCCCCGCGAAAATCGAGTGCAGGACCAGCAGGTAAGTGGTCAGTGTAGAGGTGCTGCTGCAACCACATATGCTGGCTGCATGCAGCACCATACGAGAACAGGGTCAGCAAGTGTCAGTGGGAGGAATAGTGCCCCATCATTGGTGTCACTGATACCAATGATGGAGCACTATTCCTCCCACTGATACCAACGATGGGGTACTGTTCCTCCCACTGACACCAACGATGGGGCACTATTCCTCCCCCCCCCACTGACACACCAACGATGGGGCACTATTCCTCCCCCCCACTGACACCAACGATGGGGCACTATTCCCCCCCCCCCCCACTGACACCAATGATGGGGCACTATTCCACCCCCCACTGAGACCAATGATGGGACACCATTCCTCCCACTGACACCAATGATGGGACACCATTCCTCCCACTGACACCAATGATGGGACACCATTCCTCCCACTGACACCAATGATGGGACACCATTCCTCCCACTGACACCAATGATGGGGCACTATTCCTCCCACTGACACCAATGATGGGGCACCATTCCCCCCACTGACACCAATGATGGGGCACTATTCCCCCCACTGACACCAATGATGGGGCACTATTCCCCCCCCACTGACACCAATGATGGGGCACTATTCCCCCCACTGATACCAATGATGGGGCACTATTCCCCCCACTGATACCAATGATGGGGCACTATTCCCCCCACTGATACCAATGATGGGGCACTATCCCCCCACTGATACCAATGATGGGGCACTATTCCCCCCACTGATACCAATGATGGGGCACTATTCCCCCACTGATACCAATGATGGGGCACTATTCCCCCCACTGATACCAATGATGGGGCACTATTCCCCCCACTGATACCAATGATGGGGCACTATTCCCCCCACTGATACAATGATGGGGCACTATTCCCCCCCACTGATACCAATGATGGGGCACTATTCCCCCCACTGATACTAATGATGGGGCACTATTCCTCCCACTGACACCAATGATGGGGCACTATTCCTCCCACTATTACCAATGATGGGGCACTATTCCTGCCACTGATACCAATGATGGGGCACTATTCCTGCCACTGATACCAATGATGGGGCACTATTCCTGCCACTGATACCAATGATGGGGCACTATTCCTGCCACTGATACCAATGATGGGGCACTATTCCTGCCACTGATACCAATGATGGGGCACTATTCCTGCCACTGATACCAATGATGGGGCACTATTCCTGCCACTGATACCAATGATGGGGCACTATTCCTGCCACTGATACCAATGATGGGGCACTATTCCTGCCACTGATACCAATGATGGGGCACTATTCCTGCCACTGATACCAATGATGGGGCACTATTCCTGCCACTGATACCAATGATGGGGCACTATTCCTGCCACTGATACCAATGATGGGGCACTATTCCTGCCACTGATACCAATGATGATGGGGCACTATTCCTGCCACTGATACCAATGATGGGGCACTATTCCCGCCACTGACACCAATGATGGGGCACTATTCCCGCCACTGATACCAATGATGGGGCACTATTCCTGCCACTGGTGTGCATTGGAAGAGGGGTAGTCTTATACGGCGCGAGTATAGCTCAAACACTAAATTTTAGAAAAGTAGGGGGGTCGTCTTATACGCCCAGTCGTCTTATACGCCGGCAAATACGGTAGTTAAAGTATATGGTAACTAAAAGGCAAAACGTTTTAGTTTTGGATAAAATGGAGATGAAGCCAAACACCCGTTTTTATTGCCGTCTGTGCCCCTGTTAAGGAGATCCACCCTCTCTATTTGTCCCGTTTACTTTTATCATTGAAAGTGAAAGTAAAAGAAAACCCCAAATTTTGGGTTGTCCCCAGAACAGTAATAGAGGAGAAAGCTTCCAATAGGGATACTACTTCTGGTGATCTGAGGGGCGCAAGAGAATCCCTCATTTTGCAGGGATATCCTCTATGGGACAGGAAGTGAAGCAAAATATCCCCAATGGGACACAGATGGTTAAAACAAAAAAAATTCTGACAGGGGTTATAACTATCCAAATTGAAAAAAAAAAAAATTCTATAGTTCCATTTACTGTTCATGGAGCATATTTTCAATGTAGGTATTCTGCTTACCAAGGATCAAAACTTTGGATAGATTTGTATTTTGAGTGGAACGAGTAGTGGTTTTGTTATTTTTTTATTTGTAAGTAAATCTGAAATATTGCATATTAAATATGTGTATTTTCTTGTTGGGAGATGGAGCTTTAATCTCCTTTTCATGTTTTCCAAGCCATTCCTTTGTCCCGCAGTAAAGAGTCTTGTTTTTAGAAGCCAAAAGCTCAAGCTATAATGCTCACACATGTATAGGAGTCAGAACAGTGACAGCTTCCACCAAGGGTTTAATCAGTCAAAGCATGTGTTCTCCCCTTAGATAACCCGCAATGCTCCACAAATCTTTTACGGAATAAGAGTTTACTTGCAAAACTAAAATTATATGTAAAATGATTTAAAAAAAAAACATCAGTTTATAAACATTTATGCTTAAAATGAAACTAAGCCCAAAAAGTGAGGATTTCCTATGCTAAAGGTAACATCAGGAACAATGTGCCTAAGAAAAACACTGAAAAATATACCCTTTTTATTCCTCTTGAAACACAGCAGTGCACTTCCTGGTATGGGATGGTGCCTACACACTATGGCAGTTCCAGCCTCATAGCTATATATCTGCAGCGTGAAATTTAAAGTGGTAGTAGTCAGTCTTTAGAAAAATCACTGACATGCAAGGTTTTTTTTTTTTTTTATAACAGGAGAGACCCTGGAGGTCTCTTCTGCCATAAGTCTCCCCACTGCCTGTCAGCGAGCAATGTGATCTGAGCCGCACATGCGCACAGCTCAAACCATGTTTACGGTCTGCTCAGTGTGCCACTGTGAATGAGACTCCCATGCACATGCACAAGAGTAACGTCTCCCTGGAACAGCCATTTCATCAGCTGAAGATTGCAAACTCATAAGAAAGTCCAGGTGAAGATGGAAACTGCTGGGGACAAGGGAGAGCCATGACAGCACAGTATTGTACATTACTGCTGAAAGCTGCCGGGGGACCCATTTTTTAAAATAATAAGACAGACTTTACTACAGCTTTAAAGTGGTTCTAAAGGCTGAAGGTAAAAAGCCTTCAGTGTGCAGACTCTCCTTCAGCCCCTCCAATACTCACCTGAGCCTGATCTCGATCCAGCGATGTGCATGAGAGCAGCAGCTCTCCTGGGTCACTTCCTTCTCTTTGGGAGTGGGGGGCAGGGCTGAGCCACGCTCTGGATGTCTTATGGACACTCAGAGGTGGCTCGGGAGCAAACATGCACAAATGCCCCCAGAGCAAGCAGCTTGTTCTGGGTGTACTTAGCAGGGAGAGGAGCCAGAAGTGCCAGTGGGGGACCTGAGAAGAGAAAGATCAGGGCTGTTCTGTGCAGTTAAGTATAAAATGTTTTTACTTTTTTTTTTTTTTTTTAAATCTGCACCTTTGGAATAACTTTAAGGCACGGCTGCCTCTGACGTCTAGTGTAAGGACATTTGAAAAGAGATTTTTTAATGCCAATACTGTGATGTTCACAGATTTCCTTGCTGGATGCTCTGGCATGAGGAAGCAAAACTCTTCTTCTACCTGAATGGCCACGATCATACACAGACACAGTGGGAATCAAGGCATGTCCCATAATGGGTGAGATGACCCACAGGGAGCCCACAAGCAATTCTGGTGAGTAGTCCCTTGCCTTGTATGGCTACAGCTTCCAAGGTTCAGGTAAAATGTGCTACTGGGGATGCGATCTCAGGGACAACTGTCTTAAATTTCTCTCACTTTGAAAATAATTCATATTATTTCTTGATAAGCAGATATATCCACATTAAGACAGAGATGGCAATAAAAAAAACGGACAGGGATTATAACCCTTCTATTCTAATCCTAAACATTTTTGTTATTAAGTGTCCCTTATAGGGAAATTCACTCTCTACTTCTCTTGGCCAACACTGGCACTAGGACTGAAAATGAGGGGAAATCTAATATTGATTTTTCACCAAAACAGAAAAGACAGGGAAATCTTACACTAGGTCACTTGTTCTGGCGATCTTCCTCTGGGCCACTTGTTTTGGGGACAACTATCTAAGATAGGGTTTACCTCACTTTCTGTTGTCTTCAGGACAGGAAAATTCCTTAAAAATGGGACACAGATGGATAAAAAAAACATGACAAAAAGGTGTTTAACCATTCCCTAATCTCCACAATAGAGAAAGGTTTTGGCTTTAGATATACTTCAAATAACAAAATTAACAGAAAATTGTTTACCTTTTAAAAAGCAGCACAACAAAGTAATTTAGTGGGTACATGTAGTGAGCAATTTACCCTAGCCTGTCAGAAAAAAGTCCTTGTCCAAATCACTTGTTATGATCCATAAACCCACTACATACTTGTCTAAGACAGGCTTGAGTATTTCTTACTCTACAGCTGTGATAAAGGTCTTGCTAAGATCGATAAAAGGGGTAAAAAAAAAAAAAAAAAGTTTGAAATACTGTTTGTGGGGAAAATGCTGCTCTAAGTTCCATACAATACTGTTCAGGAGTAGAGTCATACCATTTAAACTCTGCTTAAGAGGAGCATCAGAGCTCAGACTCGGTATAACTCATTGGCAGAAATTATGTGACCAATCATCTAGGACAGCCTCTCTCAACCTTTTCAAAAAAGAGGGACCCCTGAAATAACTTTCTCTTCTCAGGAAATGCCTGCTAGAGCCTACTATATCTACAACTCATGATTCATTAGTGTAATGGTCAGTGGGAATAATGCGCCTTACACTTGTGGTCACTGGGAAGAATTACCCCCCTTACAAATAGCTAAAAATATCAATGGTGTCAGTGGGAGCTTATCTGAGAGGCAGAGATTGCTCATTGCTCAAGGAACACTAGCAACCTCTGGAAGAACCCTAGGGTTCCATGGAACCCTGGTTGAGGCCTTCAACACTAATTATCTGCTGGGTTAGCATTTTCTTAAGAAGAATGTAGCTCTTACCTTAGATATCTATCTCAGCGTGGCCATTAAAGAAACTATGCTGAGAAAGAATGGAGTATGCACGCTGATATTTTCTTCTAGAAATGAACTCACTGGTTGTCATACTAGTCCTAGAGCTTTAGCACCTTCTAATTCAATAACTTGTAACAAATCAATGGATGAGATGTTTAGCTTCATTCTGACTTTTGTGATCTGTAGACTGTCTCAGGTTATGCATGGACAGGCAAGTAGCATTTTGCAGACTGAAGTCCCAAAAATGACTTTCATGCTGTCAGCTGTGTGATCTTGCTGTCAGTTACTACTCCCTCCTCTGTCCACAAGTTTGCATTAAAATTATCAGAATCAAAATCAAAACATCAAACATAACGGGTAATCTAGAGAAATGCTTTTGTTAATACATAAATCTCAGGGTTACATGCCACACAACCTACCATGAAATCATCTTCTCCTTTCACCCTCAAAAACTAAAGAGAATACATGAATAAGAGAACAGTTGATAATCTATTACTGAGCTCTGCATTAATGAAATGGAGGGATATAAATGAGAAAGGACATCAACACTGGATTTCTACAAAGAAAGTAGTACTTACCTCAACCTCATCGCTTTCATTTATGTCCTTATTATACCCTGAAGGAGGTGGAAACCTTACATCGTGGAATGGTATCTGTCTCTCTGGTTGCCAGCTGCAAACACAAACCCATTACAATTATGCATTGTAATTCATAACAATATCACAAATAGTTGATCGTATAGAAAAAGACTTAGCAGAGGAGTACACAGCCATCATTTCAAAAGCATTTTGTCTGAGCTCAGTACTAAAGTCTGGAAGAAAAATAATTTAAAGCGCTTAAAAATGCAATAATTCAGTAGCCCTAACCAGCGATTCGAGAGTCATATGACTAAGTTCACCTTTGAAGTGATTCCCAGGAGATTCCTATCAGGAAGAGTGCTGCATTAAAAAGGGAAGCTAAACTCCAGTGTTAAAAAAAAAAAAAAAGTAATCAAAGTAATTCTGAAGAACATTCCAAAAGTATTGCGACCCCCTTCACTTTTTTCAATTTTGTTATGCTGCCGCCTGATACTACAGTTGTTTAACTAATTTTTTTCTCCTTAAGCTACACTCAGTACCCCATAGTGACAAAGTGAAAACAGAATTTTAGAAATTTCTGAATTCATTAAAAAGAAAGTAAAATATTACACTGGCACAAGTATTCAAACTCTTTGCAACACCTGGAATGTAGCTCAGGTCCCTTTCACCATTTCTCTTGATTGTTGCAGAGATGTTTCTACACCTTGATTGGAGTCCACCTGTGGTAAATTCAATTGACTGGACATGCCTTGGAAAGGCGCGCACCTTTATAAAAGGCCTCACAGCTGAAAATGCATACTGTATCAGAGCAAAAGCCATATGAGATCAAAAGGAACTGCCTGCAGAGCTCAGAGGCAGGATTATTGCAGGGCATGGATATGGGAAAGGCTAAAAAAAAAAAAAAAAAAAAAAACGTTTACTGCACTAAAGGTTCTCAAGAGCACAATGGCCTCCATAATTCTCAAATGAAGAAGTTTGGCACAACCAGGACTCTTCGTAAGAAAGGTGACCAAGAACCCGATGGTCACTCTGACTGAGCTCCAGAGATCCTGTGTGGAGATGGGACAAAGTTCCAGAAGAACAACCAGCACTGCAGCCCTCCACTGATCTGGGCTTTATGGCAGAGTGGCCAGATAGAAACTACTCATTTGCAAAACACATGAAAGTCCGCTTACAGCCTGCAAAAAAGCTTTGGCTGCAGATGCTGGAACATGTTACATGTTCCAGGTTCCGAAGGTGACCTTATCCTTTAACCACTTGCTTACCGGGCACTTTTACCCACTTCCTGCCCAGACCAATTTTCAGCTCTCTCATATTTTGAATGACAATTGCGCGGTCATGCAACACTACCCACATTTTTTTTTTTTTAAGAAAAAGAGCTTTTTTTGGTGGTATTTGATCACCACTGGGGTTTTTATATTTTGCTAAACAAACTAAAAAAGACCAAAAATTTGAAAAAAAAAGTTCTTCTTAGTTTATATTTTAAAGTTTTGTAAATAAGTAATTTTTCTGCTTCACTGACGGGCACTGATAGGTTGCACTGATGGACACTGACGAGGAGTCACTGATGAGCACTGTTAAGCGGCAATGATGGGCATTGATTGGCAGCACTGATTAAATGATGGGCATTGTTGGCTGCACTGATCACCAGGACTTCTATATGTATTTTTCCCCCCATGTGTGAATCCTAGGAACCCTGAGGACTAAATCATGCTATAAAGCCTCGAGTGCACCATAAATATCATAACTTATAGAGCATGCTGGATATGTGTAGTAGGGCCCTGTATGAGTCTATGTATCAGTCCTTATTTGAAAGTTCATTAAATTAATCGTTGTATACCATATAGAAATAGATGCTTAATTCCCCACTTGGATGGTTCTTATGTGGGGTGTTTAGAAGGAGGGAGAGACTGTGAAGGTCCTGTGCGATAATGAACTTGAGTATAGCATATGTATTGAGCAGCGCCGAGAGGGCCGTGCGGCCAACTGTGATAACACAGGTATGAAGTATGTATAGAGCAACATCAGTAAAAAACATGTATGACCATTTACGGATAACATAACGGAAACCTTTTCCTCTGAGTCCAAACTGACCCTGATATATGAGGAGTGCTTGAGTGGTCCAGTGTCCATATAGGTCTTCACTGCTTCACAGTGAAGGCGGCTTATACTTTACCATTCTTGCAGCTGTCCACGTTGTTCCCAAAGTGTCCAGCTTGTCCTATGTTGGTCTGGTTTATATATGAAAATGGCTGCTGCTCCCTTAACCTGGGCATATATCGCATATCTCCCTTTAATATTTATTGATTCCTCAGGATGCCGTCAAGGGTTTCCATATTGCAAGATTGTGTCACATGACGTTGTGTTTAATGTCAAAGCATTTCGCAAGACAGTAGCGTAGCTTCGTCTGGACATCCGGCGGTATGGCGGTATCCAGGTAGTCCCTTATATCTGTATTGTCTCCATCTAGGAGGCCGCCCATAGTCAATTAAAAGATAATGTCATATTTGCTATTCACTCAGTAATAATAGTGGTACATAGCTCAACTGTTTTAGCAACACTCTGGCTTTTAGTCCAATTTCAATGGTCTATACATTTAAAATAAGTGTTATCATAAGGTATGTACTTAGCTATTTGCATAGTGGGGATCCATTGTAGAAAGATCACACTTAACTCTCTTTTCATAATTAACCACCTTTAACTATGTTTAAATTATTTCTCTAGGAAGACCTGTAGGTTCATCTCTACATTCAATCCCATTGGAATTTCTTCTTTGACCCTGAAGAAGTCACGTGACCTGTGACATGTCGGGCGGAGCCTAGTGAAGTCACTTCCGGTCATGCTCAAACTGGCACGCGTGATGTAAGGAACCATTTTGAGTGATCGCTATGATATGCTTTTGATTCATTACTTTTGTTAGTGCATTTTTTACTTGAATAAAGTATTCATATTTTATGGGGTTGCACTATGATCTATTCCCTTTATCTTTGACCATATACACCTTAATTCCACTGGACATCTGAGAGCATGTTCCCTTAAAGGGCCAGAACTAATGAAGTATCTACTAAGAATTGGCAGTGGCTAAGCAGAATCTGGTTTCATCCCTAAGAGTGTATGACCTGTTAGGTCAGGGAAGAAGGTGAGCGCATAGTGCACCTACCCAGTGGAACTCATTCTCTGAGCTGTGGGAGACTTGTAGTATTGCTACCACACCAGTTGTTCTAGAACTGTTGTAAAGGTCATTTTAAAGCTGCCCAAAATTGCCTCATGGGGAAACACCACAATATAGTCGGCACGGTGGAGTAATGCATATATGTTCACCATAATTCTGAGTCACATATAATTTGTTTAATGTGATTGGATATTGTAACAGGTTTAATTTTTGGTTATATAAAACGGTGTTGCACTATGGTATGTTTTTGTTTTATTTTGCACGGATCTGGAGTTTAAAGAAGCATAATATATGGAAGGAACACATCACGGATCAGAAATTTTGGAGACATATTTTCCTCATAAAATGTGTTTTTGGCCTATTATAATTTATAGGTCAATGGTCAAGGTGAGCAAGCAGTGGGGCCACAAGTCAAGCACAGTGTTGATTATGGCTGGATGTTAATGCAGCATATAGTAGATTGGACATTCATTATCTGTTACTTTTTTTTTTGACTGTCACTTTATGCTTTCAAAGCTTATGGTTCTATTTATGATAAGATAGCATAACACATTTTTTTCCATTTATGGCTAGGAGAATGATGCCCCCAATCTTCCCATTTGCCTCCTGGAAAGCACATCACAGAGAGAATCTACAGTGCATAAGCCATGGGGCATCTTCAGGTAGCCGATTGTCTCTGCTTGGTTCTTGAAGCCACCCCCCTGATGATGCAAATGTACTGTGCCACATCATGATCAGGGAGCCAGCTGGAAAACCAGAATACACAGTTATCTTCCTCTTTGATGTCATCTGGGAGCTAACATAGACCCCGGTAAGGTAGATGTCTGTGTGTGTGTCTGTGTGTGTGTCTGTGTGCCCTGTCTAAAAATCGAATGGTAGGAGTATTGCAACACTGAGACAGAATAGCAACATAAAATTAAAAAGAAATGCATGTCCAACAAATTATGCACTGATTTGCATGTTCATGAGGGAAATAAGTATTTCATCCCCTTCACAAAACATGACTTAGTACTTGGTGGCAAATCCCTTGTTGGCAATCACAGAGGTCAGACGTTTCCTTTAGCTGGCCACCAGGTTTTCACACATCTCTGGCAGATCCTCTCTCCAAGTCATTAAAGTTTGGTGGCTGATGTTTGGCAACTCAAACTTTCAGCTCCCTCCACAGATTTTCAATCAGATTAAGGTCTGGAGACTGGCTAGGCCACTCTTGGACCTTTATATGCTTCTTCTTGAGCCACTCTTTTGTTGCCTTGGCCGTGCGTTTTGGGTCATTGTCATGCTGGAACACCCATCCACGACCCATTTTCAAAGCCCTGGCTGAGGGAAGAAGGTTCTCACCCAAAATTTGACGGTACATTGCCCCATCCATCGTCCCTTTGATGCGGTGCAGTTGTCCTGTCCCCTTAGCAGAAAAAAACACCCCCAAAGCAGAATATTTCCACTACCATGTTTGATAGTTGGGGTGTTATTGGGGTCATAGGCAGCATTTCTCCTCCTCCAAACACTGCAAGTTGAGTTGAGGCCAAAGAGCTCGATTTTGGTCTTATCTGACCACAACACTTTCAACCAGTCCTCCTCTGCATCATTCAGATGTTCAGTGGCAAGCTTCAGACGGGCCTGGACATGTGCATTCTTGAGCAGAGGGACCTTGCGTGCACTGCAGGATTTCAATCCTTGTCGGCGTAGTGTGTTACCAATTGTTTTCTTGGTGACTGTGGTCCCAGCTAGCTGGAGATCATTGACAAGATCCTCACGTGTAGTTCTGGGATGATTCCTCACTATTCTCATGATCATTGACACTCCACAAGGTGAGATCTTGTATGGTGCAGGTGCACTTGGGGAGACTGACAGTTGTTTTGGGTTTCTTCCATTTGCGAATGATTGCACCAACTGTTGTCACCTTCTCACCAAGCTGCTTGGCGACAGTTTGGTAGCCCATTCCAGCCTTGTGTAGATCAACAATCTTGTCCCTGACATCCTTGGACAGCTCTTTGGTCTTTGCCATGGTGGAGAGTTTGGAATCTAATTGTATGATTGCTCCTGTAGACAGGTGTCTTTTATACAGGTAACAAAATGAGATTAGCAGCACTCCCTTTAAGAGACTGCTTCTAATCTTAGCTTGTTACCTGTATGAAAAACACCTGGTAGCCAGAAATCCTGATGAATGATAGGGGATCAAATACTTATTTCCCTCATGGACATGCAAATCAGGGCATAATTTGTTAGACATGCATTTTTTTTTTTTAATTTTTTGTTGCTATTCTGTCTCTCAGTGTTACAATACACCTACCATTCAATTTTTAGACTGATCATTTCTTTATGAATGGGCAAACATTCAAAATCAGCAGGGGATCAAATACTTATTTCCACATAAATGAGTACAACCCTTTTGAAAAGTAAGATTTGAATGCCTCAATAAACAAGAGAACAATTTGCAAAATTTCGACAAAGCTGAGTTTCATAGAACATTTGTTTAGCTCATTACATGAAAGTAAGGTTAATTATAGAACTTAGATTACAAAATCTTCAGTTTTACCGAAATTAGTTGATGCTAAAATGAATACATCCCACAACAAAAACTACTACATTTAGTATTTTTTTATGAACCCCCATGATTTGTAAGGACACCATGGAATGAGCTAGTTTGCGACATATTGCAACATCGATATCTTTTTCCATTTTTCAAGAATGACCTCTTTTAGAGCATGGATGCTGGATGGAGAGTGATAATCAACTTGTCTCTTCAGAATTCTCTATAAGTGATTGATTGGGTTCAGATCAGGAGACATACTTTGCCATTGAATCACTTTCACCCTGTTCTTCTTCAGAAATGCAACAGTGGCCTTAGATATGTGTTTTGGATCACTGTCACGATGGAAAACGCGCTCGACGACCAAGGGCAGGAAGTGATGGTAACATCTTCTCCTTCAATATGGAGCAGTACATCTGTGAATTCGTGATACCATCAATGAAATGCAGCTCCCCAACACCAGCAGCACTCATTCAGCCCCACAGAAGGATACTGTCACCACTAAGTTTCACTGTAGGCACCATGCATTTTTCTTTGTACTCTTCACCTTTGCGACACCATACAGTTTTGAAGGCATCAGTTCTAAAAACATTTATGTTAGTCTCATCACTCCAGGGTACAGAGTCCCAGTAGTCTTTTTCAGCATGGGCCCAGGCAAATTCTAGGTGGGCTTTTTTGAGCATGAGTTTCAGGAGAGGCTTCCTTCGTGGATGACATACTGTGTCATGGGAAACAATCACCCCAGTTTGGCTTTCTAATTCTTTAGCTAACTGCAGTGAACTTGAATGGTGATTTTCTTCAACCCTTCTCATCAGAAAATGCCACCTTCCATGGCTGGCCTGGACGTCTCTGTGAGATGGTTGCAGTTCCACATTTGTTACATTTTTGTATCACTTTTTCTACAGTATTCTGACTGATAATTAAAGATTTTCTGATCTTCTTGTAGCCTTCACCTTGTTTGTGTAAAGAAATTATTTTCTCAGGCCTTGTGACATTTCTCTTCCATATGGTGCCATTGCTGACAGCATGAAATGGGAAAGGGTTTTCTTTGTTAAGAAACACCCTTTTGTAATCAACTGTATGCTTAAACACCTGTTTAATTAATAATTTGACTCACCTATATTTAGAATAGAATTTTTGTTAATAAGGATTTTGTTGACTAAAATGTAGCTTTCATTGGAGTGTATTCATTTTTGCAACATGGTCTTAAATTAATGTTAGGAAAAACACTTTTTTGTGTGTACAAATCTTGTTTGCAATCAATGGCCCGCATTTGTGGGAGAATTAGTATAGCGTCCCATAGAAAATGTTGATTCTGAAAGGAAAGTAAAAGGTCTCTGACAAATCTGTTGAGGTGTACGCATTTATGCTATTACACACACACACATACATATACACACACTATTATATATATATATATATATATATATATATATATATATATACACACATACACATATATACATATATATATACATATATACATACACATACATATACACACACACATACATACACAAAGTGAACACAAAGGTGCTCATAGTAATAAATTAATATAAATATTATTCATTACTACACAAAGTGAACTGATGTCAAAGCGCTCCAAAAAAATGTATGTAAAGTTCACATGATTCCAAAATGTAACGTAATCCAACACCATAAAATGAGAATCCATGCTTAATGTGAATTCCATGCATTAATTGGTTCCACTTTTGTTCTCCCAGAACTCTCACCTCCAATGCATGTAAAACTGCGTGTTTAATGAGGCATCTCCACAGCTGATCACTATCTCCTTTAGCCACTAGGGCGTAAGCGGAGGTAGAAAAAGGAAGTACAAAATCTCTTATCTGTAAAGGGAATCTTTATTTGAATGTAAGTGCAATTTGAATAAATATTGGAAGTTTTTACTAAATCTACTACACTAGGTGTATTCTTTTTTGAGTGAGGCTACAGTTACTCAGTGAAATGGTGGATTCCTAAGGCTACTTTAACATCTGCCATATGGGAAGAGGAGCAACCAAGGAAGCCGTGTCTGCATCAGTGATTTCCAGCTTTCAGGGGGATCCCACAGGTATGGTATAAGTTACACTGGACCAAGTTGGACTAAAGTAGCTTTTTTAAAAATATACCATGCTTCAAATTATTCTTTAAAAGCATGCTTCATACAAGAACAGTTTTTACCTGCCAAAGGATTTTTATATTTGTCCATCTAGTCCTGAGATTTACCAAGCTCTACCCCACAGCACGGTCCTGTCTAGAAGATAAGTCAGCACTAGTTCAAACTAACAACAAAATTAGGACTCACAGTATATTTATGTAGTTTCCCTACAAGGGTAGGGGACCCGATCTACAAAGAAGGTGGACACTGTCTGAGGCAGGTATAAATTCCAAGGGGGTATATATTTGAGAAAAATGATTTCATCATGCATGTTAATCAAAGACGTTTGTGTATACGTTGAGGTGTCATTTCACATTCAGAAGTGCACAAAAATGAAAGCCTAAATTATAAATTAAAACTCCCATTTTTTTAACCATTTCCCCCCTCTCCTCTAAAGAACTTTCACCTAATATATACCCAGCAGCATCAACAGCCTCTTTCAGACTACACAAACCTGTGGCATGGGCTAGCCACTGATTGGTTGTCCAGGCAAATGAACTACGAAAGCACTAAATGACCTCAAACTCCCCACTCATTTTCCTTTTCTTGTTTTGTTAGGAGGCCTCTTGCTACTAAGTAATGATTAGTCATGAAAGATTTTAGGTTCAACTATGGCTACAATAACTTTATCCAAGTTTGTGAAAGGTTACTGTGCCCAGAGTTGGGCTTTAAACTTTAACTTTCAGTCCAAAACAAATCACTGAAAAAGTATCAGTACATCTTGCGTCAATTAACATGAAACCAGGTACTTACTTATTCTCGAAAGTAACCGTAATGGAATCCTCGTGTACATCTTTCACAAAGGCCTGCAAGAGAAGGAAATAAAACTTGATGAAACAAATGTTTACTGAAATTGCTGATTGATTTGCAGCATTTGGAAAAATAGGAAGTTTAATTCTACTCCCTTATATAAGAAAAATGCAAAAAACAGCAGGTAATACAAAACATACTTTTTAAAATTTACATATGCACCAAACACAAAAAGACAGCATCGGCTGATGAGTAAACTTGTTTGTCCCAGAATGTCCAGTATACACAGCAACTCATTCCTAACTGAAAAGTATAATTTTTAACTATAAAATAGCCACACAGATTCAAAGCTTTTAGGTTTACCATGGAGTAAAAGCAGAACTTTACACATACTAAAAAGGCATTTAAAAGCTTTATTTTTAGTTTTGGCGAGAGTGCAGAGTGATTAGAACACTTGTCAGTATTTATTACTGTCTGTGTCCCCATTAAGGAAATTTGCACACTCTATTTGTCTTATTTACCATTATCATTGAAAGTGAAAGTAAAAGAAAATATCACATTTTAGGTTGTTCCCAGAAAAGCAATAGAGGGGAAATCTATCAATGCGGACACTAGTTCTGGTGACCTAGGGATCCCCAAGGAATTCCCTTAATTTGCAGGGATATTCTCTCACTTTCTGTTTGGCTATGAGACAGTAAGTGAAAGGAAATCTCTGCAATGGGATACAGATGGTGAAAAAATGACAGGGGTTATAACCCTCCCTTGCTCTATCCAAAATGAAAAAAAAGAAAAAAATTGCTTATAGTTCTACTTTAAAGTTCTTTAACCACCTCCCGCCTGCCATATAGTAATATGATGGGCGCAAGGTGGTTCTCTCGTTCTGGGAGGACGTCATATGACGTCCCCCCATTCTCACTGCGCATGCACGGCTCAGGGATCACCGATCATGAAAAGAGCCGAAGATGTTGGCTCGGTCATGTGATCAGCTGTGTCCAATCACAGCTGATCACATGTAAACAGGGAAATGCCGGTTATCGGTATTTCTCTCCTCTCCAGCTGTCACGCTGACAGCTCGAGAGGAGAGCCGGTAATCGGCTTTCCGCGGAGGGGACATGTACATTGATCATCAGGGCACTGATGATCAGTGTGGCCCCAGAAGTGCCACCTGTCAGTGTCCATCAGTGCCTTATGTCAGTGCTCATCAGTGCCTCGTGCCAGTGCCCATCAGTGCCTACCAGTGCACATCAATGCCAATCTGAGCTGCCTTTCAGTGTCACCCATCAGTGCCACCTATCAATGCCAATCAGTGCCGCCTAATAGTGCCAGTCAGTGCCGCCTATTAGTGCCAGTCAGTGCCGCCTATCAGTGCCATGTATCAGTGCCCATCAGTGATGCCTGTCAATGCCCATCAGTGCCACCTACCAGTGCCTCCTCATCAGTGCAGCCTATCAGTGCCCATCAGGGCAGCCTCATTAGCGCACATCAGTGAAGGAGAAAAATCACTTATTTACAAAATTTTATAACAAAAACTAAGAAAAAACATTTTTTTTTTTCAAATTTTTCTGTGGTTTTTGGTTTAAGAAAAAAATAAAAAAAAAACCCAGAGGTGATTAAATACCACCAAAATTAAGCTCTGTCACAAAAAAAATATAAAAATTTCATAAGGGTACAGTGTTGTTTGTGTGCAATTGTCAAAGTGCGACAGTGCTGAAAGCTGGAAATTGGCCTGGGCAGGAAGGGGGTATAAGTGCCCGGTAGGCTAGCGGTTAACAAAAGAATATATATTCCACAATAATTATGGAACCAAAATTAGAGTGTACTTTAAATTGCTTCCAGCATTACTACGGTTTCTTCTTGCTGGAGGCTGCCATTTTGTTGAAGCCCAGAGCAGTCACTTCATTATTGCTAACTCTCCCCCACTCCTTGCTCTCAAAAATTGCAAGTCAATTTCTTCAACTAAATTGTGTGCATTTCAAGCTTTCATCGTATGCCTTAGCTCAGATAGAGAGAAAGGCTGACAGAAGTTTTACAGTACTGAAGTTCAGAGGCTGCCTCTGCCAAGGGAGAAAGGAGAGACTATCAGGGGATAATAAACTATCTTTGTACGTTTAACTCTTTTGTGTCTCCATGACAGCAGAGTTTGTCCTGTCACCTCTCCTGCTTTTCTTTTGTCCCTCACTAATCTGTGTGCTCTCTGCACTGTGTGTCATTCTTGTTGCTTTCTTACCCCTTCAGCAACAGTAAAGCTGTCAGCCAATTGGCCTCTAGTAGCTCTGATTATAGGCAGTGCTGAGAATAGAGAACAACTGAGCATGTACAGAACACAGTGAGACAGCGCATTATTGGATTTTAAACTGTATAGGCACTTATTTTATTTTACATAGCTATATCTGCAAAAGGGGCTAGCATGAGATAATATAGCAGGAATTAATTTTCTGACTAAAGTTCCACTTTAAAGCAGAAATAAACAGTTCTATTCTTTACAGCCAAGGAAGCTGCAATCTTAGCCTCTGTTTGATCTGTAGCTGTCATGGTGCTACACATGTGCTCAGTTACAGCAGCCTTTTTCAACCACCTGGGGTACCTACGGGCATATTTAGGGGTGCCTCAAAATTGTATACAAGCCAGCAGGTGAATAAAGCCTACCATTTAGTTGCACAAAGCCACAGGTTTTCATTGTGCACCATTACAGCCTTCGATGTTATCAGATGAGAAGGTGGATGTTGGGTGCCTGCACAACATTCTTGTTTGCCTTTTTCCTGTCCCTCTCCATCAGCACTGGGGTTACATTAGCTGAGTGAGGGAGAGAAACTGAGGGAGAACGAGAACGCTGGAAAACTAGTCAGTGTGCAAGTGTATTTGCTTTGAAAGAATAAATCACCTCTAATGTTGGGTATCCTATGTATGTGGATGTTGCTGCATTATGTAAAACTATTTGTTTACATTTTAGAATGGGGTGCCTCAAGCAGAATTTAAAGGGTGCCTTGACTGAAAAAAAGGATAAGAAACACTGTTTAAATGGTACCAACCATTTGATGGTGTGCCAGTATTGGTTGAGAGAACAATCAAATGTGACAGTTATCATTCATGGCATGCACTGTATGTAACAGTTTTGGGAAACAGTTTAGTTCTGCCTTAAATGAACCTTATGTAGGTTTTAAAAGGTGAATACCTTACCTTGCAGCAGATATCACAAAATGTCAGTTATTACTGGTTTTGGTCACAAAAGCTTATTTTGCTCTCCCTCTCTGGTTCAACTTCCCTTTGGTTTTCAGGCATGACTTTCCATGACTTGATGGCCAAGATCAACCAACTGCAATCCCTGTTCAGCGAAAGCTTTTATTCTTTATTCACACTTGTGCGACTCCAAAGTTGCAAAATTCCATTTCAACAGTTGCATCATAGTGCAGGAACCTTTACAAAATTGCTGCGACTTAAGTTGCACAGATCCAAACAGGTGCCATTGAAAAGCATGGGCTGGACTTACCATTACCAAAGTTGCATGACAAGTCACGCAAGTGTGAATGGAGCCTTACAGCCGCTGCAAAAGTCTTGCTGGATACAGTTGTCAGAACCTAGCTATGACATGAAATGCCCCAGTAACAAAGTGAAACCAAATCAGAGAGGACAGCAGAAGCATTTCAGGGTAATAAAAAGGTAACGACAGGCATTCACACAGCACTTTTGATTTCAAATTTTAAATATTAATCTGACTGAAAGGCTTGTTTGTAACCCTTCTTGCATTTTGAGATATGGTACATAGTGAAAATCTGGAAGTTGCTTTCAAGGGATTATAGGAATCAGCAATCGGTAGCACTAGATGTTGCTGTGATCAGTAGCTGGGATTCAATCATAGATCTGCATTTTTAAAATGTAAGATATTTCCCTTATAACACTAACAAATGTGTTACCCCTAGGTAGTTGAATTTCTTCATTATCTATCAAGTCTAGATTAGCCCAACGGTATAGTTTTGTCTTGCATTATATGTGGCGGTTTGGTGTAAATGGAATTTGAGTTGAGAACATCCTGCCACTGGATTTACTCCAAGATATAAAAAGACACAAAAATTTGATTCAACTGTTTATGATAGTTTTAGGTAATGTTAATATTTACATTTATAGCCAGTTGCAGACTCTAGATGTGTTAGACGCTCCTCAAAACTGTCATCATTGTATACAGGGCATGTGTAATATGTCCAGTCTTTCTGCTCTGCTTCCATGACCTCCCCTGTCACAGTACTCCTCAATTCAGCTCTGATTAATAAAAGCAGCATTGCAGAGTACACAGAGAAAGTTCCAACAGCTGGAGCTGTCAAACTAAAGCAGTCTGGCAATGTGTATCAACAAGAAACAATGTTTCTTTTTGTATCGGTTTATTCATCTACAGATCAAAAGGGATGCCCTTCAATCTGTAGGTGAAGTCCATTAAAGCAAACTAACATTTTTTTTTTTAATTAAATGTTCCCTTTTAATGCAGGCCATAGCTGGTTCGTTTATCAGATGATTTTTCATCTGAAAGAATAATCGGCCGATTTTCACACTCTTAGTGGGGCAATGGCATCGGTCGATTTTCGTGGTTCCTCCTCATTTCGTTTATCGGTCTTGCTGAAAAAATCATGAAAAACGGACGATTTTCACAATCATCGGTGGCAACATCGGTTTATAGAACAAACGATGTTTCGTTTTTCAGAAGAAAAATCGGCCGATAAACGAACAGTCTATGGCCTGCATAACCCCTTATTTTACTCTAATCAGACCTATTTAACTCCTTATTCTCCTTCTCCATTCAATTATTTTCCTGCTGATTTTTGTTAGTTTCTATTTTAACTAAATAATATTTAAACTTTTTGTTTGGTAATATTTTTACACCTTTAACATATATTTACACATTGCACATTTAAAAAAGCTGAAAATTGAAAAAAAAAAAATCCACTTTATTTAATTTGTACTGCTTTGTACCTGAATCATAATTTTAGTGTCATTTTAAAAAAGGACAAATTACAGAATAAAATCTGCACTTTTTATGTGCAGGAACATATAACACAGTATTTATTTTTAAACTAACACTGCTCAAAAAAAAAAAAAAAAAAAAAAGCTGCACTTTTTTAAACGTTTTGTTACATTTGTCTAAGAATTGTGAAAAAAAATATAACTGTTGCAACACAATATTCACAAAAAGAAAGCCTTTAAAAGACAATATATTTATTATGTTATCTTATAAGTAATGACAAAGTTAACGCTGAATAGACAGGTCCATAGCAAAAATGTAATTACTGTTCTGGTCCACAAGGGCTGAATAGGTGTGAGAGGCGAAGTGGTTAAATTGGAATGGCACAATGTCATTGAATTGTACCAACAACAGGAATGCCACACACCAAGCCAGCTAGAAAGTTCTATTCTGACATGTTTCTTGCTAGGCGCATTGCTTTCTCAAGAATCATAGTAAAACCAATGCCAAGAGGTGGCCCACGAGCTGACAAATGAAGAGGACCTCAGATCTGACAGCTCATGCTAAAGCCTTGGTTTACACTGATGTGATTTCTGATGCATTCCGGAACACACTGAATCACGACACGTAAAATAACATGCGTTTCTATGGCGACCGTTCACATATATGCAGTGCGATTCTGATGGGGCCCTGTGCAGTTTAGTGCAGTGCGATTTGTATCTACACAGACTTGAATTTAAATTACTAATTGGTCCTAAGATAGCACGATTCCAGAACATTTTCTGCAAGTCTTTGCTTTGTTCCCTATCTACCATCCCTGGTCCATGGGGGAGAGAGAGAGACTGACTGACTGAGACTGCTGCCAAATCACACCAGAATTGCACCTGAATCGCTGAACAACTATCCCTTGAAATCACACTGAAACTGGCAGAAACATTGCACCGCATCTATGTAAACCAAGCCTAAAGTAGAAAAAAAAAAAAAAAAAAAAATAGCCCATAGATACTGCCATGTTGGCAGTTATGGATGGTCATTAGCTGCTGTGTAGAATAGAAACTTCAAGGACCTGTACATGCACAAGGAAACAAGAAAGGTTATTCAGTTTTACAAAGCTGAAGTTTTCACTGCCTTATCATTATCTTCATGCGATTCAGTATTACTTGTTGAATGTGATGTTATATCCAGTGACTCATCATAATATTTGAAAAAGGCAAGACAAAGATGACAGTGAAGGTGAAACACACAATAAACAATGAACATCAACTCATACAAGCATCATTTGTAAATGCTGTGTGACCATTAAATAAAAAATAAATAAAATAAAAAAATATTATGACCATCTCCAGGATCAGCATAAAGCCAAGAGTGCATAATCCACAAACACTGGTGAGGCTCCTGATATTTTACAGTAGAGGATACAG